GTTGGGTGTGGTCCAACGGTGGTTGTTGGGTGGCGCTCTGTGGTGTCGCTGTGGCTTGCCCTGCTGGGTGGGTCCCTCCTTGCTGGGGCAGGGCTCCGATGGGCAGGAGGTGGCGGTTGAGCAGCTCTGCCCAGCCGGTTTCTGCCTCCTGTGGCCTGGTTTGGGACCGCTGGCCGGGCGGATACAGCCACTTTTCTGCCTCTTTCCACGTGAGGTGCTCTGGTTTTACCCAGCCCCTTTGTTGGAAAGCGGCTTGTACAGCCGATTTATGCTCCTTGTTGCGCATCCTCTGCTCCCCGCGCCCTTCGGGCCATCTGTTGTGCTTCTCCGCTCTGCCCGTTGGAGGTCGCGGGGTCTCCTCGTGGTCCGTGTGAGCCCCGGAGCTGGCTGCAGCAGTTGCTGGGGGCGCGTCGTTGGGCCCCGTGGGTCGTGGTCTGGATCGCTGGAATCTGCTGTGGTTGGGTGTGGGGTGGATGGGTCCCTGCCGCTGTTGGGGGTTCGGCGGGCGTTGTGGTGGCGTCCTGGTCTCATCGGTCTGGGGTGGTGGTTGCGACGCACTTGCCGTCTTTGGCTGTGGTGGGGGGCTCCGTCCTCGTTGGGCCTCGGTTGGCTGCCCGACTGACTGCTGTTGCGGGTGCGGCTGCGTGGGTGGTGGCTCGTGTGGTGTTTGAGGAGGCGGTGGCTGTTGCTGTGGTGGCGGTTGTTGTGGGTGCCGCTGCGTTGGCGGTGATTCGTGTGGTGGTTGTGGTGGAAGCGGTGGTGGTTGCTGTGGCGTCTGTTGTGGCGGCACTTGCCACCCTAACTGTCGGCCCGAGCGGCGGGCTCTGCTGCTGACATCGGTGATGACTGGCCCATGCGGTCTGTTTGGTTGGGGGGGCAGCTGCGATGGGGGTGGCTGGGCCGCATTCTGGAGGGGTCGGTTCGCGGGGCGGGTACGGGAAGACATGGTCCCATCGTGAGCCATTCTGCGATGGGCCGGCCTCGTGGCTGGGGGCCGCCTGGGTGGGTTGTTCGGATCTGCGTGCTGGGTCCCCGGCGGCAAAGGGGGATCCTGGTCATCTGCCTCTTCAGCTGGTTCTTCGTGTTCGTCTTGTGCTGCTGCCTCCTGCTGTGGTGGTTGTGGTGGTTCCGGCTGCTGCTGAGGTGGCGGCAAGTCCAGTGTCACCGTGGGTGGGGCGGACACGTCCGTGGAGCTGATGGCGCCAGTAGACAGGACCGGGTCGTCATCCAGTTGGTTCAGGGTGGCTCGCAGCTGCGACCACAGGTCCTCTGTTGGTGGGTCGTCGGTTTGGGCCAGTGGAGTGTGGCTAGGAGCTTGCTGGTGGGGTGTAGCCGGTGGTTGCTTCGTGGCAGGGGTCTTGGTTGCGAGCTTGCCTTGGCTGAGTTGCTGCCCGGCTGGCATCCGAGGTGGCTCTTTAGCGGGGGCCTTGGAGCTGGTCAGAGGTGTCTGCTGATGAGGGCTAAGGGGCGGCGCCTTATACGTTGCCGGCTCCAGCGCGGGGGGCATGATGGGAGGTGACTTCTGGGGCGCTCTGCCCAAGGAGGCGGGGGCAGGGTCCGTAGAGGAGGACGCCGGTTCGTGTTGTGGCGGTGGCCGGTGGCTGTGGAGGTAAACTTCAAGTTGGTGATCGTACTCGTCGCGGTGCTGGCCAGAGTCTGCTGTGAGGCTTGCCCAGATGGCTGCTTGTGTGGCTGGTGCCTCGTCCTCCTCGGGAGGGGCGAGTGGGAGCTCCTCATCGTCTGACTCGAGTGGTTGGCCCGCTGATGCTGCTGCTTGTGCTTGTGCTTGTTGGGAGTGTGCTGCTGGCGTTGCTGTGCGGTCCGAGTCGTCGGGAGGGGGACGTTCCCCGTGGGTGGTGTCTGTGCCGGGTTGCTCGTGTGTCTGGGGGGGCCATGGCGTGTCCCAGGGATCCGTGGCGGGATCGTAGGGCGGGGCAAACCTGGGTCGGCCAAGGGTCCAGTCTGACCCGCTGCGGCTTTGGGGGTCTCCCGGCATTTGCCTGCGCCGGCTTGGGTGTGGGTACGAGGCTGCCGTCGAGGTAGAGGTCGTCGAGGGCACTTCCCCCAGGATGGGTCCCCAGTGCTCTGGGTCGCTCTCTCCGTTAGCATCGGTAACGGGGGATGGGCTTGTTCCTTCCCCTGCAGAGGTAGGGCTCGAGGGGGTCCCCGTAGCGGGCTCGGTCGTGGGCGAACGTGGCGGGCTCCCGGGCTCTGTGGTAGACCTCGTTGTAGGTGCTTCCTCTCCACCCCTGGTCGTTGGACCGGCTGTCCCCATGGTGTCCAGGTCAGGGGTGTGCTCTGCGGGTGCCAGGCTTTCCCTTCCCACTGCTGAAGGCGTGCTCCCGGAGGAGGCGGTGTCCCGGTCTCCGTGGTAGGAGATGAGGTAGACGGTGCCCCATCCGTAGCGGTCGAGCTCGCGAAGCTTCCGGTTCTTGCGGCGGATCGGGTTCTCGGGGAAGGCCTCGGGGTAGTGCTCGGATCCTCGTCATTCGGCGGCGCCGGCGTAATTTCGGAGGGTCGTGCTGTCTGCGGGCTCCAGGGCTCCGTGGTAGAGGTCGTCGTAGTTGAGCCCCACGCTGGTGCCCCCGAACTTGCCTGGCCCTGCACCCTTCCCACTGCTGAAGGCGTGCTCCCGGAGGATCGTGTAACTGGCGGTGTCCCGGTCTCCGTGGTAGGAGATGAGGTAGACGGTGCCCCATCCGTAGCGGTCGAGCTCGCGAAGCTTCCGGTTCTTGCGGCGGATCGGGTTCTCGGGGAAGGCCTCGGGGTAGTGCTCGGATCCTCGTCATTCGGCGGCGCCGGCGTACTTCCGGAGGGTCGTGCTGTCTGCGGGCTCCAGGGCTCCGTGGTAGAGGTCGTCATAGTTGAGCCCCACGCTGGTGCCCCCGAACTTGCCTGGTCCTGCCACGATTGACCTGTCCCTTGCGGCTCCCCCGGCAACATTGCTGGCTGTGCGTTGGGGTCCCCGAGCCTTGTCGTGGCCAGGGCCAGTAAAAACCCCGCTGCAGCCGCCCATGGCATAAGGCGGTACGCGGCTGGCATGTTCACTGCTGAAAGCGTTCTCCTTGCAACTTCGAGGCTGAGCGCTGCTGTGCATGCAAACGGCATCGCACCAGCGATCAAGTCCCCATGTGGCTGCGCAGGTCTGTCGACTGTGTGCATATTTGTATCGGAGAGAGGGAGTAGGAAGCGGAGACGAGAGGGGGAGTATATATAGTGTGAGGCTAGCTGGCATTCTTGGCAGGTCTCCTGCGGCCCCCTGCTGCTGCTCGGCTCTTCACGGGCACATGCCCCCGGTGATTGCCAGCAGTGCGGCGGACGGGGGTTGTCCCCGCGATACTCGTGCTTTCCTTTTGGCAGCCCCACTCTCTCGTTCTCTCTCTCTCTCTCTCTCTATCTACGGGGCGTGAAGGGGCAGCAGCGTCCCGGCTACCCCTCCGTGCGCGAGCGCACACCCGCGGACCATTGGCGGGGTGTCCCTTCCCCTCAGAGATTTTCTCCTCGGGGCTCTGCATGTCTGTATGAGGAGTAAAGTTTGCTGAATCCCCCGCTGACGCGCTTTCGAAAACAAGCCAAGCAAGCCAAGCCTACATCCACCAAGACTCACACAGCAACTGTGCTTGCACAACAGCGCCGGTCAGCCCTAGGAGTCAGGAGGAAAACTTGCATGCCCCCACTTCTTCGAGCAGGAATACCTTGAAATACCCTGGAATGAACGAATTGAATTAAAGCCTCCTGTCCTCCGAATTCATCTAGAAGGAGATGTACGAGGCGCGTTGAAAAGAAACTGGGATTGAGGGCTGTCCAGCCCAGTTGAGTGAAGGTGTTTTGCCCGAGAAGAGCCCAAAGGCCCGCTTAAAGAGTTCACGCCTCGCAACATGCTCACGGAAACACAGGAATGTTTGAACATGCACGGATTTATTGACGGAATGTACATGGTTCCCCTTATGAGGTTTACGGCTTACGGCCGCAACTACACCGGAACAGCTTGAAGAAAGGTTGCAGTGGGATCTCCCCTTTTTGAACAACAACCAAGGAACAAAAGACACAGTGCAGAAACGAGTACAGGGTGGGAGTCCCCCTACTTGCGAAAAGGTCACCGACTGTACTTCCCCTCACTGGCCGCCGGCTCTTTTTTCCGTCCGGGCCTTTTGCACCGAGGTCCTCTTTACATCTGTGGTTCACTCCTGTTGTCGCCTTGGCCTGCTGGCTCTCTTGTACTTTTCCCCCGCTGTCTTGGAGCTTGACGGTCTGTCGTAGTTGACCCTGGTCTCCCCCTCGTCCAACTGATCGTCCTGGGCTACGTGTCGTCCTGTGTCTGGGTCCGGCGTTGTGCTGCTAGCTGGTGGCGCGTCTTTCCCCCGCGCTCTTTTGGCCTTCCGTAGTTTGTTCTTCACTAGGTCCCCGTGCTTGCCCAAAGTCACGAACGTCCGGTCGACAAACTCCCCCGGCCAGCGAGGTGGTTCTGTAGGCGAAGCTCGGCCGGCAACTGAAGGACGACAGTGGTGGAGAGGACTGTCTCCCCCTGCTTGAGAGTGCACACGGTGAAGACCTTGCAGTTTAGAGGTCACGGATCTCGAAGTAGAAGTTCGAACTTGCCGTTGACGGGTATGGCTCCGTTCCTGGAGACCTAAGAAGGGCCTCTTAAGCACAGTGGCGTCGGATATGCGATTCAAGCACCGCTGGGGCAACTGGGAAGGCTCCCCTGGGGCAACAGTCCAGGTTAACCCCCCAGCTCGCTCTCTCTCTCTCTCTCTTTCTTCCTTCTCTCTCTCTTCTCTCTCTCTCTCGGGCATGAGGGTCGGCTAGGACCCCCGGGCATCGTGCCCACCCGATGTGTGTCGGGCTTGTCGGAGGGTGAAAGACAAATGTAGACCCCGGCATTGGGCACTCTCTCTCTCTCTCTTGCTTGCACTCGGTCAAAGGGCTACTGCCTCTCTCTCTCTCTCTGTGTCTCTCGCTCAAACACACTACACATCAACAACCTTTAGACAAGATGCTGGTCCATGGTAACACTGCCAGGTGAGTCCTGCTTGAACATGGCGAGCACACACCGGGTCGGGCGGGTACTTTCCCCCTTCAAGCTGCCATGTGGTTGCAGAAGGATCGGACTCGCACGCCTTCTGTGAAGTCTTGATCTTGCTCACAAGGATTCTGTGATGGTACTTCCTGCCCGTAACCTCGCACACTGACAGACCACTGGAACTTGCAACAAAACCCAGCAAGGCTCACAAAACACCGTACGACAAGCGCGAAGTAATGTAGCATGGAACTGGCAGAGAATTCACCGCCATCAGCATCTCATTCCGCGCCTTGCACCGCCAAGCTTTGGAGTTAGCAACGCACGTGCAGCTTCAACAGGCCGGCCGCCGGCCTTCCTCCATGGAAGCCGACTTGATGCATCCTCCTCGTTTAAGAGCAGCTGGTCGCCTTAGCATTTTTGGAAGCATCGAAAATGCGCCTGCATGAATGCAACAACTTCTGGAGCTTCGAGCAATGTGAGAGCATGCTGGATTCATCCAAGACTCCCTCTGAATCTGCCTCCTCAAGATCACCGTCATCCCTATCCTCCTCGTCATCGTCGGCATCGCCCTCTTCATCCTCAGGCTCTTCCTGCTTGCTCGCACCGTGGGTGCTGATGCACGAAGATAAGCGATTCATCAATGCCGTGAGGTCAAACCCGACATTTGCCAACTTTGAGCGTTGGACTGGCGAGCTTGCCCAAAGGGCACAGTTCCCATCCTTCCGACTCGGCCCCATTCTGCTGCCGGCACTGGTAAGTTTCCGCGCTGTGCTCGTCGGTGTTCAGCTGGTTCTCTTGCTGTTCTTGACGTTACTATAGTATAAGTCTTGACTAGTGCCGGCCATCGGCCGGTCCGCACGACACATCTGCACCGCAGATTCGCAAGGGCTCTGGATGACTCTACGCCCGAAGCCGCCCGGCCTCGTCATCGTCGAAGTCGTCAAACTCTTCCTCAAGATCGAAGTCGTCCTCCGGAAGCGTGTGGAAGACTGCTCCATCCGCAGGATGACCTTCTTGGAGTGCCTGGACAAAGACTCGCTCAGACATAGACTAAGATGATAAAGATTCGAAAATAGAAAGAATTCAGCAGCTATCAGTAACATGAACACAGCAGTGCTGACATGTGGCTTGGCATGGCTTCGCTGAACAGCAGTCCGCACTCTATCTCTTTTCTTTCCGGCAGCAGCTTAGCAAGCGATTCTGTAGCTACACTCGTGGGGGAAAAACCTTGTCTCTTGAAGCTCGTGGACTAAAACCCCCATTCTTCCAAATGCAAGGCAGCTGGAAGCTGCAAACGGGGAGCTGCAAATGGGCATGCTGTCAGCACAGGACAATTGAGCACGGCTAGAAGGCCTAAGAGTTAGTCCCCTACTTTTTTTATGTTGCCTTACACTTGTTTTGGGAGTTGGCTGTGCGTTAACATAGGTTCTCCCTAGGACTCGCTAAACATTCATGCAAGTATCTTACGAGTCGGAGAGCTCAGGAGTTTCTCTTTGGCCTCCCTTTCCTAGGCCTCCTCCTCCTCCTCGCCGGAGCTCTTCCCACGAGGTCCAGTCATGATGGAGGCAGCACGGCCACTCGCACGCGCAGGAGCACGCAGCTGATCCATGAATCGTCGCCCGATCAGCAGTTGCTCGCCTGGCGGGACTTCCCGGCAGCCGTTCTCAACCACGCAGGAAATATTACCTCCCCAAAAAAGACATGGAGAGAGAGAGAGAGAGAGAACAAAACCTAGGTAAAACTTGTTTTCTGAAGACATCCGGTGACAGAACGCGGCTGCAAGCACGGCCCGCAGCCGCGGAGCTTCCGTGCGGAGGCTTGGCTTCGGGCCCTTGCCATGGAGAAACGAGAGCAGTCGGCCTCAGAACGCCACGGCCACGGGGCCACAGAAGAGTGTCTTAAAGGACAAGCTGGTACAGTAGCAGCTGGCAAGCCTGTATGCAATGTAGGAGACACCTTTGGTTGATGGTCGCCGAGCCGCCAAGTTCCTTCCTCGCGGCCGTGGTTGTACGATTTCCTCCAGGCAGATGGCCCAGACGCACACGCTCGGCCAGGTCTGCAACGTTGCCCACAAGCTTCTGCATCCTGCGCGCGAGTCATCCGGTGACAATCATCGAATACTGCTCTCAAGGACTCGGACAAGCCAACCCCCACAAGTGCAGGCACAAGCAATTACAGTATCGTACTGCACTTTCAAGCAAGGACCTGCAAGTAGCACATGAAAAGCGGCTCCGACAAGCTTGAAAGCTCGGCTCATTAAGATGCAACACCATCTAGCCGAAGCTGTTCCTCAGGACTCCGTTGAACTCATGCAGGAGTACACACGACCAGATACAAATCCATCCCCCTTCGGAGAGAGGCACTTTCGGCAAGCAGGTGAGCGATGCAGGCTTACGCAAACACCCAACAGAGCCGCTGGACGCACTACATCGCAGTACTGTAAATAACCAGACTATGTCCGTCCGACCGGTCCTTCCCGCATGGGCATCGACCTCGTTTGCCAGCATGCAGGCGGCTTGGTCCCAGCCCTTTTGGAAGTGCCTCTGCCTCTGCTTTCCTGGCGGAAGGTGAAAACTGAAAGGCTGCCCGGCTAAGTGACAGAGCACGCCCGGCGCAGGTACCCGTCCTGACTGCGAGACTGTCCAGAAGCGGATCGCCCACTGACAGAAGAGCCTCAACAGCCTGCAAGTGGCAAGCCCACAAAAGCGCCGTGATGCCTTTCGAAACGCTTGGCTCACCTCTGAGTCGCCCACATGATCGGCTCCGAGAAGTGGCCTCCATCGAAGCGTCGGCGGGCTATCCAGGAGCGCCGCCTACATGGCGCTAGATGGGCTTATAAGGCGGGCTTCCCACCAGGTTCCACTCCATCTTGCGAGCTTGGCCCGAAGCAGGCTTGCACGGTATGCAGCATCGCTCTCCATGTACATCCTGCGACTCGAATCGCTTTCCGGGATCAGGGCTTCAGAGACATTACGTGACATGCACTCCGGGTGGGACTGCTGAAGGGGTCAGCACTCGAGCACCTCGTTACAATCGACAGTCGCGGTACCGATCGCTTTTGCAGCAAAAGGCGGGGGACTTAGGTCGCGGCGCAGCTGCCATGATGACGGCCTCGCTGATGCAGCCCCAGAGCCTTATGCACTTGCTTGCTGCTTAGGCATGCTTTAGCCGGAGCCATGCACGACAGAACAAACTCAAATGCCCTACTGAGATCCCGACGCACCGAACCAGATCAGCCGGCACAGGCCTGGTCTGCAATGCCGTGAATGACGAATGAACCTATGGCCTTCCAGCACTCTGCTCGAAGAAACTGATCAAATTGCTCAGCATGCTGCCCTCTTCCAACGGCAGCCCGTCGATTAGCAAGCCTTGAGAGGTAGAATCAGGCGTTGAGGCTACGAGTAGCCCGAGTGTAGGAAACTGCCAAGGCCCAAAAAGCAGTATTTTTCCATCAGCATGCTAAACCATCAGTGGTGCATTAGGATCGGGCTGCCCTGTCGGAACCTTCGAGTTTACAGACCCTTACCATAAGCTGGACTCGGTGGAACTCTGCGACATTCACGGCAGGGCGACAAAACTGGGCCACTGGGCTCAAGATTGTCCTGTGGAGCCGAGGAGGGTGAGAGGGCAAGAGCACTGTCGGCTTGGAAATCTTTGTTCCAAAATGTCATGCCTTGGAAAGATGCTCACGCTCACGGTCACTGGCGCTGCGCAAGTTGACGCGAAGCGTACAGGGGGAGAAAGCTACAACTGCAGAGGCATACGTCATGCGCGTCTTCCGAGAATCCACCGTCTCCTGATTCCTTTTCGCAGCTTATTTCTCGTAATGCTTAAGAGATGCCCGCAGCGTGCACTCCCATCTCATATCCGTTTCCTGCACAGGCTTTGGCGCAAGGATCAGACGGCATGAGCCTCAGCCGGGCTGCGGCAAGCTGCGTGAAAAGCACTGCACTGGGAACGATACACCAGCAGCTTGGTAAAGCCCGGCACCCGTCTCTGAACTGTCACTCTCTCCCAGGCTAGAGCCTGTGAAGTGGGCACCTTCTACAGGGAGCAGCTAGAAATGCGCTTCGAGCGTAACACTGCAAGCCACAAACTCATGGCACCTCAGACTGGTCTGCGGAGGAAATTTCACCATTCGTCGCCAGCCTTGAGGAGCTGGCGGCCAAAACAGTTCTGACGCAGTGGCACTCAGCCTGGAAGCCAAGCTGCGAGTTTGGGGCCTCCACAGCGAGTCCGCGCCCCTTGGTTTGGCGGCAATGTGGGTTGGGTTGCGAGGAGAAAAGCCATTGTCTGCAAACACTGCCTACGTAAGTTCTGGCCGGCTTCGGAGAATGTCGGGGTTGGCTGCGGGCCGGCTTCCCCTTGCCTCAGCCAAATAAGGAGAGTCAACAGTCACATGCTTCAACATGCGACATGAGCCACAGACCGGAACCCCGAAGCCAAGATGCCCATCGCTTGGGCATGCCACATCCAGCCTTCCTTTCCCCTCTTTGGGTCGTTCTGTGGGTGCTGGCTGCTGCGCAGGAACAGCTGGCCGGTATGAAAGCGGTCCTTGGGGAGATCGCTGAGTTTGCTCCTGGGTTGCTGGCCGGTGTGGTGCCGGTGACACTGCTACGCGACGCGGGGTCAGAAGCGCCGGGCTTGAGATGGTTGACGACGTCACAGACGCCACATTCTGCAGCTGTGATTGAGATGGCTGCCACTGGAAGGAGAATGGCGTGGCCCGAGGGGTGTGTGGCAGCTGTCGCAATGGTGTGACAAGCCGCGCATACTGTGGAGGCGCCTTGGCCGCCGAGAGGGCTGCAGGAGGCTGCCTAGGTGGCGACTGACGAGCCGCGTTCAAGGACTGGGTCACCGCCACCTGGCACTGCACTGCATTCACATGCATTCACTGCACAGACGCCACCCGTTTTAGAGCCCCGCTGCACTTCCAAAAAGACGCCCTGTGCAACGCTCAACCATTCTGGAACCCCTCAGATGCCTGAGGCCATCGGAGTCCGAGTCCCATTGGCACAGGCTGCCAGACCAAAGGCACACTGGCATTTGTTGTAGACGCTGCAGATGCCGCAGGGCCATTGCTTGGAGAATAACTTGGTATACTCGACGCGAAGCTTCTTGGCAAAGCTGGAGCCCGACCAAGCGATGGAGGCGATCTGTCCCGGATATGTGGCGGTGGGCCAGTTTTGACCAGCCTGACACATGCGCCTACGCTTGTATCGGATGCTACATACAGAAATATATATATATATATATGACCAGAGGAATCAATCTTCGATCTCATGCGGTGGTTTCGTGCATCCGCTCCTGGGCGTTGGTGTCGGTGAAAGGGAGGGGCCCCGGTTCGACGGTGACACGGTCCGTGGCGAGTTGGTGCGCTCTGGCGAAGCCAAGGGCCCGGTAGAGGCAAGGCCCGACTGCATCGAGCCCGGCCGGCGCAGCGGCAGCTGCGGGATGCGCTCCTGCCACAGCCAGGGTGTGCAGTCTGCAGAGCCACGCAGTTTTTCAATTGCCGTGGCCCCTGGCCTTTGAGGCGCTGCCAGCCACCACGGCCACAAGCCGAGATCCGCCAGACATTGGCAAGGACGCTGGCACCGGGGTGCTTCCCTGGCCCTGGTGTCATCGGCGCACTCGCAAAAACCCTACGGTAGCAGAAGTCGCCATTCAAAGCCAGAGAACCGCTGGCTTACTAGTGCAGGCCCTAGGCGTTCGGCTTCCGCATCCCGCCTGCACCTGAACGATGCTGGCCATCGCTCGTGGCTCCTGTGTCTGATCGAGACGCTCTCTCTGACATGAACCTATGCGCGACAATGCCGGAGCACTAGACTGACTAGACTCACCATGGTCTCCGTGATCTGACCGTGGACACGCTCTCCCGCGCCAGCTGTCCTTGGCTGTGCCGACCTGCTCTTAAACAGATTCCGAGCACGAAGAGCTGGTACTCGACGCATACGTGCGATGTCCAAGGCACTTGAGATCCGTTTCGTCTGCCTGCCAGGGGAAACCGGGTGCATGCTGCAGGCCCGGAGTATAAGCACCATGCGGGAAAAGAAGCATAGCCTTGCTTTTGCCATCTGCGGGGGGGGCTTCGACCGGAATAGTGGTGACTCCAGGTGCAGGCACTCCTGCAGAAATCGGAACCATGAGCGTTCTCAACCTGCTCATTTGAAGGAGAGCTCAACAGGTAAGCTTACAGCCCCAGTCCTGCCAAGTCTGCGACAGTCACTTCGGCAAGGTCCGCTGCTTCCTCCTGAAGCCACCCCACGCATGCCACAACGCATGGGTGAGCTCCGAGTGAGCACCCAGTCGAGGTGCCAGAACTCAAAACAAACAAAATGACAGACACATGTCAGGTCCTCCTCTTTCCTGCCTAGTTGGCTTGTCCGCAGTGCTGTCATTTCTGCATCTTTCTCAGCAACCGCCCTGGCAGCGCGGAACACAGGAGTGGCTACTCCCGAAGCAATGCACCTTTTAGAACTGAAGTCTTCGACAGCTGATGCGTTTGCGAAAGACTCTGGATGCAGATAAGTGGAGAATGCCAAAAGGCGCGGGAAAAGCCGGAAAACGAAAGTGCGTCGGAGGAAGACCACGCGTAAAAACACAAAAATCCAAAACTACTAAAGTCTCGAAAAGTTAAGACAAGCCGTGAAAAGTCAAAAAGTACAGCCAAAGCGACAAGTCGAAAAGCAAAAGAGCAGCGGAACATCGGATATCTCAAAGGGCGAAAAGTCAAAAGTTGAGACTCTAGTTATCAAATTCTTCGAAAAAGTGAAACAATTAAAAGCACCGCAGCAGGTCAAAACTCAACAAGTCTTGCGAAAATCTGAAAGGGTGTATCTGGGATCCGAAAACTCAGCCAAAATATCATGGTTTCGCTACAGGCTGGGTGAAACTCGAAATGGTTTACAGTTCAGAAAACTTCGCCATTTTGGGGTTCCCGAGACCTGAAAGACAGGCCCAAATGCCTATAGCCTATGTCTTGTGCACTTTTTGGATGCTTGCGGAACCACCTAGTGGTTCAAAAATCTTTGCAATTCAAACCAGAAACATAGGTGAAAATGCCCATGGTTTCGTTTATTTCAGGTGTTACTGTATGAGGTCTTGAGGATGTCTCAAGTTTTCAAGTTTCCCAATGCCGTAAAGTTGGCCGAAATGCTTGTGTCTTGGCTACTCTTTGTACTTTATGATCTTTATGGCACACGAAATAGTCTAAAATCAGTAAGATTTGCCAATTCGGATTCCTTAGATGCGAAAATGTGCAAATATGCCGATTGCTTCGTTCATTCAACACGCGTTGAAGCTACCAAACATGATCGAATCATACTACGGTCCTGAAATCCGCCATTTGGCGCGGACAAGATACTCGGGGAAGCCTGGCATAACCCAAAATCATTGAAAGTTGCAATTATTCGCTTCGTTAACGATAAGCCCCAATATTCTACAAGTGGGCAGTCAATAGACAAACATATATGTTTCTGCACTTCATCAGGTGCCTTGCAACACCCAGATTAAAACAACCATCTCGTATTTGCAACTCGGCAGCTCCCCACACCCGAATAACACACCAAAAGTCTATGTTTCCGCTCCTTTAGTGGAAAGGGCCAAACATGTCAAAAATTATTGCCAAAACACATGTCGAACAAAATACCTGCGTTTTGGCTGGATTTTGGATGTTTGGCGGAACGCGAGATGGTCTTACCAGGTTGATACTGCTGAAAACTATTGGCGCAACTAGTGACAGACCTACTACGACTACTACGACTGCTAAAAACAGTACGACTACGACTGCGGCAAATACTTCTCGTGTTGCTGCCTCAGGCCTACCCCTCGCCCAACTCACATGGGGCTACCACCCTCGGGCCTGGTTTTGGTGGCGACGGAACCTCCGCCCCTAGGCCTGAGCGAGGCGGCTAGGCCTGCTCCGAGCTCGGAGATTCTAAAAGCGCTGGAGAACTGGAGAACACAAAAAGTCGAAAGCCGAAAACTGATCGACTTCTTGACGTTTCGAGTTGATTCGGTTCCCCGCTTGTCTCGAGACTAACTTCTGCTTGCTGCGGTGGGATGACAGAGAATTGGAAAGCTGACAGTGTGTCGTGAAATGCTGCGCTGCCTCTTGAGCTCCAGGACCTGCTCCTCCCAGTGCTGCTGTGAGGCAGCCTGGACCAAAGCGACCCGAAAAAGGCCCCAGATTTCCAGTTCTCCGATCTCTCTTCGCCCTCGCCTTTTCTGACAGTGATCTGGAAAGCTCCACCTGCAAGTTCTGGATCCTGGGATGGTTGCAGTCAACTCAGGGCAAACTATCACGCAACAGCGCACAAAATCAACAAACGCAGAGCGTCTCGGACATGTGATCGCTTTCCCGGGACTCTGCCGCCTTCAGCCTCTCCTGCAAACAAGATGAAACTATTCTCGAGATGTCGGGCCAACACGGCTCCTGCAGATTGCCGGGCTGCTCAGCAATGCTTGCCTGACAAGGCTTGGGATGGCTTGAGTGTTGCGCGTTGTCAGCAGACTCTGGACTGACCTTGAGATCCGTGACGGTCGCTTGAAGCAGAGCGATCTGGTCCTCAAGCGCCTCCAACGCTCACTCCGAGATTTGGAGCTCAGCAGCGGCTTTGGGCGCGCCTTCAAGTCGTTGCTCTTGCCCTCCAGCATCTGCTGCTGTGCCGCAACAGTTTGATCTTTTGATGCCACCGCCTCCTACACCAGGACGGTCAGGTCTTGATCAAATGCCGAGATTCCGAAAATGACGATGGCAGCACGGGATGCTTTTATCTCGCCTTGAACTATAGCTGGCCCTCTCGATTCTCTCAAGCCATGAACGGATGGTGTTTTGGCGCAGGCAGCCGCCTGCAGCTCGAAGATCTGCTCCCGTAGCTCGGCTAATTCCTTGCAAGGACGAGACAGTAGTAATTAGGTCTGCTCGACTCTCTCCAGCATTCTCCAGAATCTGCGCAAGGCAACATGACCATAGTGCATACCAACTTGTCGTGTAGTGCAGTCGTACTGCGGGCTGGTGTCCAGGCTCAGCTGTGTGGGCGTCGCCTGTGTGAGGTCATCTGGCTGCTTTGATGAGGTCATGGAATCCACCGCATCCGCTTCCGGGCTGGCAGCCTGGACTGACACGTGCAAGAGCAAACGGTGAAATGCGTTGACGAGTCAGGGAAATCTATCGTAGAACCGCGAGAAACGTCCCCAGCGGATCCTGCTCCTGCTCTCGCGAGGATCCCTCGAAGGCTGCCATTGATGCTGCGTGAGAATCGTTGGAATTGCAAGTCATGCCCTCGGCAGTGACCCCTTCGCAATGTTCCTCCTGGCACTGCGGTCAGAGAAAGCACGCACAGAATGCAGTTCACCCCCTTTGAAGAGTATTTGCTGAGGGTTCTTGTGTCGCAGCCTCTCTGAGTCACCAGTTCCAGGCAACACCTACGCCCTGCCATCCGCAGCTCGCTGTTGCAGAAGTGTGCATAAGATGGATTCGTGTTGACCGGCGTACACACTGTTCTCCATCCCCGGCCCAGCCTACAAAAATTGTCTCGCACAGCCTTCGACTAATCACTCCAACTTTATTTAGGGCACATCCGCTGTGCTGCAGCTGTCCTTCACCACATCAGGATCTGCTTCCATGGCCACATCGGCCTGGACTGCACTTGGAGCTCCGTCCACGTTGCCTGCGGTTCCCACCACCTGAGGAAGGAATCCCGTAAAGCGATTCGAGGCAGGCACAGCTGCGCCGCGACCGCTCGGCAAGTCGCCTGTGCTGAACAGTGCAGATCCGAATCCTTCGGCTCTGGGACTTCAAGTTGGCTCTGCTCTTGCTCCGTCCCCGGCTCCTGGTCGTACGCTGCGATGCATCGAACATCAAGCCGGAAGTCGAGACTTGAATGGCCTGCATTGCCTGCACCTTCCCGCCTGCCCATATATCTTATGAGCACAAGCTCCTCCTCAGCAGCTGCACCGCCGGTCACGGGGCTCGAGTCCTCCTCCGCCTTCGGCTGCGGCTGATGCACAGTCTCAGCGCTTCTCCGCTCGCGCTCTGCACCTTCGGCGGAACCTCCGGCTGCTCAGCTCCTGGACCCTTCCAGGCACCTTCGGACCCGGCGGACCCGGACCCGTCCTCGCAGGAAGAACAAACAGCAACAAAGGCACTGCCGGTTCCGCTCTGCTTTGCGGTGGCCTCTGCGATACTTCCTGGGAGCTCCGGTGCCAGGACCTTCTCCTGGCTTGCAAAACTCCAAGCCCCAACCCTAACATCCGCCGCACTCATCTCCCGCCTCGGGCTGCGTGAGCTCGAAGACTTTCTCATGGACTGCGTCCACAAACGCGTCGGCCACAGGCTCTGCCGACGGCTCTGCAAGCTCGCCATTCGGCGAGCCACATGGCACTGGGGACTGCGTTGGCACAACGTCCTGCAGACACGAGATTTCTGGCGGCGCTTCTTGCACATCTTGTTCCCGAGTTCACGCCTCATCGTCGTATGGGCGTGCGCCCATCCATGAACCTCTGTCATTCATGCGTAGGCCCAGCACAGGTGTTGCCTTGCATATAACTACAACACGTAGTACCTTGTGATGCATGATCCATCGACGAGACGGGAAGAAAGGAAGGAGGGTCGTCATTGTGCTTCTCCTTGGGCAAGCTTGCAGCAAGCAGGTGCCTGGGGAATTGCCGGTACACGTCCTTCCGTGCGCTTAGACAAGCATCTTCTAGATCTCGCTCCACATTGCCACTGTCTGCCACGGAAACATCGGGTGGAGGGCAAGAGAAGATGATGGAGTCCTGCGCGGAGCAGTGGTGCAGGTGTTGCCCTTTCTGGCCATGAATGATCATCAGAGGTCGAACAGAGCACATCCTCCGAAAATGGATCTTCCGAGAATTCCCCATAATTCACGGCATTCGCCCTCAGCACAAGATCTTCGCCGAACACCCGAACACCCGGCGAATTGAGCATGCAAGTCACCCAGCAGGTGGCCACTGTGAAACTTCAAGCACGTGCGAAGCCAAGAGGCCCAAGCATTTCCGCAGGATTCTCCTTGGAGGGCTCTTCCGTGCCCTTTTGGACTATCGGTGCCTCAGATGCGGTCAGCACGGTATCAAGTCGCATGAGCCGGAGAGCACAAGGAGACTGGCCTCCTCTTCAGCGATGCTGGCGGAGCTGCGGAGCATTTCGATTTCTGCAACCAGCTGCTCCTGAGAGTACCATGCCCCATGCACTCAAGGCACAGAACGACCCCAGCGTCTTGGGCGCAACCAGGGCTCTAGTTGCCGCATCCGGGGATTGCTCGCCATACTCGGACGCTTCAGTCCATTGCGGCCATGCGGCTCCGCATTTCTTATCACGAAAACATATGATGCGAAGAACTTCGCACGAATCAGAAGCCTGCTTGACTGGACGATGTCAAGACAGGCGTCGTCATGCGCCTTTGTACGTACTTGACACGTCTTGATATGAAACATGCGTTGACTAACTTCGAGGCTCAATGCTGGAGCGCCGCCAAACAAGGCAACTGCTAGATTCCAGGCATGTGGCCAATTTGCAGGGACTGAGGCAGACCGCGCCTAAGGAAGTTATTTCAGCGGCTTCATCTGCAGCCGCGAGTGCACTCGTCTGTGCCAACTCCTTGACCTCAGCAACGCTCAGCACGTCTGCCGTACGCCTGGTCGAGACGCAAAGCATATCAAGTCCGCAGCAGCAGCTTTCAGAAGCTTCATCTTCGGTGGTTGCGGCAATGAGCCTCCAATGTGCCATGCCGATAGGTTGACATGGAGACGTGGTTACTTCACCGCTGCTGTATGCATGGCCTATGAGCGACCGAGCTGAACGCAAATCCAGAGGACAGTCCCTGCACAGGGCATAATCCAAGGATACCACAGGTATCACAAGGTGAAATCACAGCTCGAATGAATGACGCACTTTTGATGCACAAGGCCCACACGGCGACAATGTCGCTGATGTTTTCTGTAACACCTGCAGCCACTATGCTCATCGCTGTGTCAGCCAAACTGGCACCTCTAGAAGTGATGCTGCTACTTCTGCAAATCGGTGCTCGATGAGGCCAGCGTTGTACTGAACCTCTCAACTCCCAGCCTGCGAAAGCTTCTTCGCCCTAAGGAAAAGCTTTGCAGTTGAAGTCCGCAATATCTCCGGCATGTCGAACTCTGGCATCTTCTCCTGAAAAGGTTCGAGATTGCACATCAAAGCAGGTTACCCTCCGAAACGGGACCCTTCGCCTCGAAGAAGCTTCGAGTGACGAGCCGAATCGCAATCCCCGGCCTCGGAGACCAAATACAGGACACATCTTTACACGCTCAAAGCGCCAGAATCGAAGCATGCTTTGAATTTTCTGTGCTTTCTCTGAAGCGACCTGGGCTACCGGCTGGGTTCGGCCAGCGCGACCTGACCGTTGCCTTGCACGGTCGACCACGCCACGCATCCACATGTTCTCTTTCATGTAAGCTGGCTTAAGAAGACGACATCGAAGGATCAACATGTTTGGCCACATGCGCACATTGTTGCAGTTCCCCGTTGTTTGACATCATCCGTGGGCAGACCCTCGTGCCCCCTTCAACTGCAGTGCTGATCATGTAGGACACTAGAAAACTTTGACAAGTACTTTAGCTCTCGCTCTCCATCTCGCTTGCCTGTCTCCGCCTCTGCCTCTACCTCTGCCTGGCCGGCTGCCTGCCTGGTGAGAGAAAAACAAGGTCACGCCGCCGTTAGCGGTCGCGGGGCGTTTGCAGCAGGAAATGTGGTTTAAACCCCAGCATGGCAGTGTCCGCACATTGAGAGGGGTGTTTTTGGGGCTTCTTGTTTTAAAAGACTTGATATGGCTCGAATGCGGCGTGGCGTCCAAAGTATCACGCCTGCCAGTGTTTTCATTGGTTTCACGTCATCATGTCAAGGCTACGTTTTTGTGGTTGTTGGGTGATTTTGAGTTTTGTGTGTGTGTGTGTGCGTGTGTGTCAACGGTACATTTGGGCTCAACCGTTGCGGGTTCAAGCTATTCTGGTTCCAATGCATCCAGTTGGCTCATTTCACACTGAAATTCAGAGACAATATCAACTTGCCTTTGACCGCCTCTACGACACCCTGAATCTAGGGCAGTTTCATGTGCTGTCGGATGCATGGAGACATCAGCCGCACACCAATGGTGCAACGACAGCCTGCCCACCACTCCGCAGTCTTTGCTTGGGCGGCATTTGCTGAATACTGCTTTGGCACCACCTTCCGACAGACCCTCTGTTGTTGTGCTGTTGTCCTGCTCTTCTCACTTGAACTTGCATCTGCGTTTTGCTGTGCTCTTACGACTTAGACGGCATAGTCATCATCTCGCATGTCCTCGTTCTCGGTCGCTTGACCCCACAGCGACTGCAGACAGACGACCCACCCCCCCTGCCCCCCCACCTCTTCCGGAAGACGTTTCAAGCAGGGTTTTCCCCGTGGCCACTAACAGCAGCGTGAGCAAAACGAAAACAGCATTCAAGTACATGAAGATGCACCCCCTTCACTGCGCAGCACTCGGAAAACTAGTTTTTCGCGAACAAAACCCGAAGCGTTGCGCAACACTGCCTGGTACCTACCTGCCTGTCTTTTGCCCCAAAGCACAGCTAACACTCTACTGGTTGCATGGGGATTATTTCCCCCTCTCTCAGACGCCTTTTCGGCTCGCTGCTTGAGCTTCCTCTTCTCCCTCTCTCGCTTTGTTTCTCAGGGCCTGCCCTCGCTCTCTTGCTTGCTTGCTCGGGCTGGTGGTGTGTGCCGGCTAAGGACCCACCCCGCTCCTGAACTTGAATGCCCGGCATCCCGGGCTCATCCCCGCCCTCACTAAAGCTCAGTCCTTAGTCCCTCGCCAGGCACAACCCCCCAGAAGAACCTACGGTTGGTAGTCACTCCCCGGATTGACAACATGACATACAAGCACAACGACCAGGAAACGATAAACCTCTCTCTCTTTCTTGTTCTCTGGTTCCTTCACTCGCTCTCCCTCGCATTTGAGCACCGTGCCGAGCAGATGCTTGGGAGCACCAAGATGTTGTCAGGCAGGTCAAGCCTTGATTGTGGTCGTAAACCTGCCACACACGCTTCGCAAATGACTGCTGCATCTGTGACGAAGGTGTAGGTTGCCAAATGCTTACTTGCTCGGTTGCTTGGTTAGTTAGTTTGTGGGTTGCTTGCTTGCTTGCTTGCTTGCTCGCTTGCGTGGGTGGGTGGGCGGGTGGGTGGGGAGTAAGCCCGAAGGAGAAAGGAGATGTTTGTTGGCAGATCCTAGAAGGTGATGCTGGTCTACAAGAAGATGTAGGTTGGCAAGCCCCGAACTCCAAAAGGAGATGCTGTTGGGCCAACCCCGCACCCCAAAACTGGAAAACCGAAGTCGGCTCGTAACCCCGAAACCGCAAAAAATGACGGTTTTCCTCAGCACGAGGCCCCAAACCGTAAAGGAATATGTTGGCCGGCAAAACACAAACCCTAAAGGAGATCCGAAGCCGGGAACGGGATGGTTGGCAAACCCTAAAGTCTCCAAAAACAGTCGCTGAATCTTTGTCCTCCCCGGAAGCCCACGGAAAAACAGTAGATGCGGGCTAGCACAGCGCATGCCCTAAAGAGTGCCTAAACCAGGCTGATGCTGAGAGGCGTTCCCACGAAAACCAGAACCCAAAAAGTAAATGATGGAAGCAACCCGAAACCGTCAAAGAAGATTATTGCTAGCAAAGTTCGAAACGGGAAAGAGGGATGGCTCCTCTCCCACAACCCAAACGTCATAGAAGATTGCAAAATCCAAACCAGGACCTGCAAGGATGGCTGCCATGGTTCCCCCACCCCGAAGAGAAAAGATGATGACTGGCATCCAGGACTCTGCAAGGACATTTCGGCGTCCATGCACCGACTGGAGCAACAACTCAAACCCGAAGAGGAGGGAATTGGAGATGATGAGTTGCCAACCCAAGACGCCACGAGGCAAACGTCAAATCCCTTGCAAAGGTGACTGCAGGTGTGGAAAAAGGCCAATACCTAACTGCAGATAATTGGTGGCCATCTCAAAGATGGGTGGCAAACCCATTTACAGGGTCACGAGTTCCCAAAAGCCCAAACCCAAAAGAGCGATGATGGGCCATGCAGGGCCGCTGTGGCAACCACGGGCCATGCGGCCAGGGCCGCAGGTCGCGAGACCACGCCAGTGAGCCGCGGGCCAACCGAGGAGGGGGGGGAGACCGCGGGCCGCAGGGCAGCGGATAAATGATACTATGGTGCCTTCAACGTGCTCTTTTCCGACCTTAGGTGTCCTGTGGGTGCCCGTATCCTTTCTCTAGACTTCGCGGGGACGTGCAACGCTTTCGTTGATCGATGTTCCTCGGCGCAGCATCTGCTGAGCTGCGATTGAAGCCTCTTATAACTCTTGGAAAAGTCATCTCTGCGCCGCTCTCTCGTCAGCTCCCAGTTGACTTCGAATTCGGGCTTACGGTTTGCAGCGGTGTGGCTCAAGAGAACCTGCTGCTACGGTCAGGGACGCAAGCTACGTCAACTTGGCGGAGCGGCTGGCTCTCTTCGAAGCGCGAAATCAATGACGGCTGTGACCCTTGGCCTCGGTTGTTCGGTGGTGAGACCTATAGCCAACGCAATAGGCCGGCTAGATCTGCAGGCTGATGTCGGAACACCCTTTTCACGCGGATTCAGCATGAGGAATCTCGATGCCTAGCTGCATCAAGCAGTCGTTGCAGTGCCACATCCTTGGAACGGACCCGGTTCATCCCGAAGGACATCGACAAGCAGTTTTGGAGGTGAAAGACTGAAAGACTCGACTACAGCAACTGAATCTTCCCAGGGCGCTTGGTCACCTTCTCGACCCTGCCCAGAATCCAAGGGTGAAAGTTGCCGCAGAAGCAGCACTTAAGCACCTCCACTCACGCTGACAGCTGAAGCCAAGACATCGCATGCGTGGAAACATCAGCTCGGCGTATCCCACCTTCGGAGAGAATTTGCGCCAGCAGTCCTCCACTCTTCTTACAGGCTGCGTGCATCCAGCCACCTGCTAAGCTTGAAACAGCAGAGCTGTGACCCACGTCAACGGATGTGCTCCTCGCAGAAGAACCTGGGCAGGGGGCTATGGGAGATGAGAAAGCCATATGAACATCAAGGAGATGCAGTGCCCTCAAGTGTCACTTCAGTGCTCACACAACCAAGGATGCACTGCACAACGGCAATCACCGGATACAGAGGGGGACAAGAAAGCTGGTACTGGGTATTCGCAGCTGCTGAGTCTGAGTGGAATCCCTTTGTGTTATCACAGAACTGGGGCGCCAGCTCTTCAACGTCTGGGTCCAGCCACCCAGCTGCCGATTTTTGGCAGTCTGTGCAACTCCCATCGACACTTCCGACTTTTTGTGTGGCGAGCTCCTCCTGCACAGCGACAGAAGATCAAAGAGCTAGCGATCCCAATTTTCCGCAGCTCTCCAGCCTGCGAAAAGTTTTCGAGGAGCTTGTCCATCCGCGATTGCAGCACCTGATTGCAAGAGACCGACTTGCAGTACGGCAAAGGGGTGCAGCTTGGTGCAGCGTGGGCCCATGGGATCAGCTTGCGCATCGCCAGCTGCTCGCGGACTGCTTGCGATACGGGCCCGAGCCTCCCACCTGGCCCACCGTGGGCTTCAGCCACCCGTCCAGTATGACGTGCCGGTGCAACGAGGGTAAACTCACCTCGAGAAGTGGCGAGAGCACGCTGAGCTGTTTGCACGTTCTGACTGGACCTTGCCACGTGTGCGCAGCTCTTCCTCCACACGCCGGAGCATGTGAACCACCTGCAGCTCTCGTTTGGCTTTAGACTGTCAGCTTCATGATGTCATCGAAGTGCCAAGATCCCAGCCTGCGATCCCGTCATCCACAGCTTACCCATCTTCAGAGGGACGGCAGCATTCCGCATTGCTCCATGGAAGGATTCCCACTTGTCCTACAGAGAAGCGTTTGAATATCCAGGAACTTCTCGTGAGCCTCACGACCAGGCCCCTTTGGCATTTCTTTGGTGGCACTTTGCTGTCCTCGAAGTCTTTTTTGTTGTCCACGGGGATGGTGAAAAACTGTCGCCGGTGTTCTGGGTATGCGTTGCTGATGAGGGTGCGGATCTCCTGAAGATGCTCTACATACTACAGACCCTTTCCAGCTTCATGTATGAAGCTTCTAAGCTTGGCCCCTGCCCTTGTTTCTGAGTCCTTCCGTTCTGCGCCATGATCAGCCGCCAGGATCTTTTCCAAAGCATCTTCTCCATATCGTAACCTGCAGAGATCATTGAGACAACCATGCACACGGACTCACGTGGTGATAACGGTGGCAAAGAGCCTGTTTTGATTCACGACGAAAAGCAGAGTCTGCGCCTGGCACAGGCCACGGCCGAAGCAAGTGGAGAAGCTTGAAGACAGACAGAGGCAGAGCCAGAGCCTGCAAGGAGCCTGTACCATCGCACTTGATCAGGGCCCGCTCCTCCGAAGCTAGGCAAAGAGGAACAAAAGCAACCCCAGGCCCCGGTCCCGGGTCCGGGCCTCCAGCATGCGGCCCAGTGCCTCCACGGCAGCCTCCGAGGCCTTGCCGTCGGTGACGAAGATCAGCGCGGTGGCAAAGAGCGCTCCCACCTGAAGAATAATGTACTGTGCCAGACCCGCTAGCCGCTAGCGCCGTCCCGCAATCCCCGCCATGTGCGCATCGAGGGGCGACCGTGACGATAGAATGGCTCTTGGACATTGCATTGTTGCCGCCCTCGCAGTCGAGAATGAGAAGATGTCCGGGATGACAGGACATGGTGGCAATGTCAATGCCTGAGCAACATCTATAGGGCAGAGAAAGGGAGCATCTGGCAACTACCCGCTAGGACAAGTGCCTTCAGTGACAGCCTCCTCGGAGTCATCTTCCCGGAAGGTTCCGGCACCGACCTAGGCTGCGCGGCCTGGTGCTTCAATTCGCCACTGCTGGCCTTTCTACGAGCATGACTGCGGATGTGGAGCGGTTCTATCATGGGATTAGGACGCAGGGTGCTTTGGTCTCCTGTTCCATCATCGACCGGTTTCCGTCAAGAACAACTTATCACTTGAATCGGGAGGCGACAGGGCAACGCAGTAAACCAACCTCAAGTGCGAGTCGCTCCTCTGCACTACTCGTAGTCGTCGTTGTCGTGGTGGCGGTAGTGGTGGCGTCGGCGGTGGTGTCGGCGGTGGCGGTGGTGGTGGCGTCGGTGGCAGGTGGCGGTGGTGGCCGTGGTGGTGGCGGGGGCGGCCGTAGTGGTGGTGGAACAAGAACTATCGGAAACACAATCTCCATTTACACAGGGCACTGCCACAATGCTTGATATCAATGTCAAGCACTGGCTGCCATCAGCTCACTACGGACCCCAGCGATGTGGGTTGCCCCGGTCGCCGCCCATCAAACTCTACGGGGCACCAAATCCTGGGTACAAGCTCCATAATGCTGCGCTAAGCTGCAAGCTTGGACGCCAGGAAGGATTTTCCACTTCGTCCGTCACCAACAAAAGCAATGGGACAAACAGGTCCGGGAAGAGCCTCCAACACCTCGAAAAAGCTGTTCATGACATACATGTGACAATATGAGTATGAGTCAGTATGAGGCAACACAATTCAATATCACCAAAGTTCTTGCAAACGAGGGACAGCGAGACCTTCTTCGCACAGCCTTGCGCGCTCGTTCTCGAATTTCAACAGCGGTGCAGACCTTTCCAATCTGATGTCCCTCAACCCTTCGTTGCTCCGGGATAAACAGGTGGAAATGCTGAGACGTTGACTGCATTGGTGATAGGCGCGCGCTGCGCCATGGGTGCTGGCTTTCCGGAAAGCACTTTCCAGAGAGATCATCTGTCTCAGGGGTCTCGAGTAGGAATCAAGCTGAGCGATGTCAAGGTTTCACTGTATTGATTCTGTGGTCTTGAGCTTAGTGGCTTAGTGGAAGCTTCGGTGCCGCATGCAATCACATGCGTTGGACTCATCTCCCAAAAAAGACTATAGAATGGAACGAAGGGCAAACGTCATAGGGATCTAAACCGCCCTGAGCAACTGGCAGAGTGATCGATGACTCCGCGATGTTGGAGGCGAGCACGATGTGGCACTTGCCATCTGCGTTCACGACCCAGTGGCATTGTGCTCTGCGCACATGTCTGCTTCCGTCCTGATGGTTGCTCGAAGACTCGTTCTTGCTCCGAGCGGGGAACCTCGAAGCAATACACGGCACTACCTGGACAGAGATGCTGCTTTGCTGCTTGCTGCGGCCCTCGCCATGGAATGCAAGACGAAGACTTCGTAGTTGGAGGGGGAGGATTCCCTTTGAGCAGAGGCCCCCCGGTTGCCAGAAGACAGCCGATTCAAGTGCCAGCGCAGCTCGCCTATGCGAGGTCGGAAATGACTTCAAGGCCTGTGGGGAAGCTTGCAAAGCTGCGTCCAATAGCGCAAGCAACCGAGCCGCCCAAAACACGGGTCCAGGCCTCGGGCGTGAACATCTTGGACAAATTGCTGAGCTCAAGCAGCCTCGAGCACACGTGGAGGCAACTGATGTCTCAAGGCATCCTTGATTTGGAGCCGCCGCGCCCGGGCATGAAGACCAGCAGGGTCGAGTCTTTTTTGGCAAAGAAGGGGATGAGCTGCACTGCCTCGGGAGAGACTGCGTGATGGCTTCAATGGCTGGGTAATGCCCGCTAGGTCCGGGGCCAATTCGGGCAGCCCCTCCAGGACGGAAGGTGACTCTGGGTCGCCATCCTGCAAAAGGGGAGTCTATCTCAGAAAAGGCTGCACCGCGCCTCGAGGCGCCTCCCAAGCCCTCTGAAACTGTTCCGCTGCTGCCTGTCACACTGCAGAACAGCTTAACAGAGAAGGCGACAGCATCGACAGGACATGGACACCTCGACCAAGGAGTACACGGTGCCGGGGAGAAGATCTTGGTAGTCAGACACGAGGTCGTCCTGCTCAGACACGATTCCCTTTGAGTCTGAGTCGGCAGGTCTCAAGACCCTTTCAAGGTGACATTTGCACTACGCACTGATGAGGGATTGTCTAGCATCACGGTGTGGATTGGAATCCAAGGCAACGGCCTCGGGCTACTAGTACGAGTACGGGAAGCCATAGCGTACTTTGGCCTTGCCTTCCCGACATCTGGCAGACAAAGACCAGACTCACTTTTCGACCCTTCTGCCCTCAGGGCAGAAGGGTACCAGTACTGAGTGCATCGGGTCTCCACTCCTCCCTTCTGAAAGGAGCTCCAAAAGCCAGCAGCGAATTAGAGTCATAGCTTGGCACATATGTGTACCCTCCGGCCCTCGCTGCATATCGCCCGCCTATCACTTCAGATGCTACACAAGCCAGTTCCGGACTGCTGGGGACGGAGATGTTGATGATCGCCACAGATTTGCCATCTAAGCAAGGCACGTATGCCTCGTCACCGTCAACTGTGACTGAATAGGCTCCGTATAGATGCTGCTTATCTTTGATGGCACCCAGGAGTATGGGCTCCTGGGGATCGGATATGTTGATAACGGCTAAGGAATGGGAGTAGTAGCCAGCAACATAAGCAAAGTCGCCTTGAACGGCAATGCCATAAGCACCATCCAAGTAGGTCGCATCCTGGACGGCGGATATGACCACAGGCCGCGTCGGCAAGGAGATGTTCACTGCAGCCAAACCAGGCGAGTCGGCTCCCACAACCCATGCAATGTCTCCCAGAAGTAGCAAGTCACCAGCACCTTTCAAGCGCACATCGACGACTTTTCCAATGATGTGTGGCTGGCTCGGCGCGGACACGTTGATAACCAGCAGGGCCGCTGCATCATATGAGAGAGTATAGACCAGCTCACCATCACACGCGACGCTGTATGAATACGGATACTGAGAGGACTCGTCCAAAATGCCCACGATTTGGGGTCTCTGGGGGTCCGAAATGTTAACGACAGCCAACGTGGATAGCTCGAGTGCCACAAAGGCCAATTCGCCCTCAAGTGCCAAGCCAGTTGGACCGAGGAGGTCTTTGTCACTTTGGACAGAACCCACCAACTCTAATCGCAGAGGATCGGAGATGTTAACCACCACAAGTTCATTTGACAAATAGCCTGTCATGTATGCAAGGTCATGCCTCACCTTGACTGCCCAAGCCCCAGCCGTGACAGCCAAGCTAGACTCGTTCACAAAACAAATGTCGACACCAAGAGCGCTCGAAAACAGTAAGAAGATCAGCCTTGCCAGTGACCGGCATGCAGCCATGTCTTCTCACATGGCCACTGCAGTTGTCGGACGACGACGCCTCCCTGCGAGTTAGCTTGAGCCGGATACGCACGCTACGTGACGTAAGCAGGACCTGTAAAGCCGGCTCCCTAAAGCGAGGGCAGTCGGTCCAAGAAGATCTCCTGCACCGGGAACGTCCTCCCCGACCTGGCAGAGTCTCAGAGGGCTTCTCTTTGTATAAGCGGCCATAGCGGGCACTTGCCATGCACTCTGAGGGCTGGACACGGACAGGGCAGCAGTCCCTCCCTTGCAGACGAAGTCAGAGAAGTAGTTGCCTAAACTCTAGGGCCACAGCGCCACACAGGGAGCTGCGATGTTCGGGGTTAGAGCTGCTGACCTCCTGATGGGAGGCGAGCTCATTAGGGAATGGATTAGGTTAGGGAATGGTGTGGTGCTTGGGTTTTGGATTACATTGGCTTGGTTTGGGCTTGCCTTTGCGGGGCAAAGTCTAACCCTGCTTTCCGCTGGCTTCCATCAGCTGGCTTCGTACGTTTGTTCGCGGGTCGAGCTTCACTCGAATTGCCGCTGGACTGCCGAACTCCTCTGGTTGGAGAGTAGCCGACATCAAGACAACCTGCCCAGTATGTCAGAAAGTTCAACGATGCAGGATGCTGTGGCTGACCGACAGGTTTTCCAGAACGTGTGTGTGTGTGTGACGACATGCTTTCCGACAACTGGCATGGGCCTTCGGCCGTTTGAAGAAGTACATCAGGAGCTTGGTAAGCAAAAGGAACATCTCCATGTCGGCCGCCCTCTCATGCACCTGCCAGAAAATGGCTCAGCGCTCAAGAAAACAGCAACACGATTCGCCTCATCAATGACGACATGCGTGAAGCTCCCGAAATGCTCAGGCTTCGCCAAGAACCAGGTCAAGACATAACCTCTCAGGTCAGCAATTAGGAACTTGATCGCAAAAGCTCCAACAAGAAGAATCAGAAGGTTTTATCCCCGACCATGACCTATAGTTGCGAATTGCAATTTGCCAGAACCACGAACCGTCTCGCCGGAGATGCGGTAGCCAACGTTCTGGCCGATGCGTTCGCCTCTTTCAGAAGCAACCCGTCGTGCGATCTCAACTGCCGCGACGCGCCGTGGTTGCGTGACCAGCACTTTCGCCCCGTGTTCGTCCATCAAGAACCGCGGCAACCGAGTTGACTTTCCGCATCCGGTAGCCCCGACCAGTATTGTGACACGCTCGGCCCTGACTGCCTGTAGTATTTCTTCGCGAAGGGCATCAATGGGTAAGTCGACTGAACGACTCTGTTGTTTCCGCTCATGTAGTTGCTCATGCGCGACGCGAACATCCTCGTCTGCCAGCGAATCTGTGGGCAGTGTCTCATCCTCCTGCATACGGGAAGTTGCTTCAGCTCGCAGGGCCGCCTCTTGCCGCTCCAAAACCTGCCATGCATCTGCTTCAGACTGTTCTTGTGCTGCATCCACATCAGGATCATCAGATAACTTATCTGTCCTGACGTCGTCCTGCTGTGTCCATGAACTTCCGACATTTGGATCCAAGACACGCCACGGATCCTCCTCTTCCAGACCTGGCGGTGCTTCCCTTCCAGGCACTTTGCTTGGTGTGGAGTCTTGCTGCGAAAGCTTGCTTTCTGCGGCCCATGCCATCGCCTCTCGATCCTCCAGTACCTGCCATGGATCCTCTTCCAGATCTGGTGGTGCTTCCCATCCACGCGCTTTGCTTGGTTTCGAGTCTTGCTGCGGAAGCTTGCTTTCTGCGGCCCATCCATCGCCTCTCGATCCTCCAGCTGCCATGGGTCCTCTTCCAAATCTGGTGGTGGCGCTTTGCTTGGTGTGGAGTCTTGCTGCGGAAGTTTGCTTTCTGCGGCCCATGCCATCGCCTCTCGATCCTCCAGTACCTGCCATGGGTCCTCTTCCAAATCTGGTGGTGGCGCTTTGCTTGGTGTGGAGTCTTGCTGCGGAAGTTTGCTTTCTGCGGCCCATTCCATCGCCTCTCGATCCTCCAGTGCCTGCCATGGGTCCTCTTCCAAATCTGGTGGTGGCGCTTTGCTTGGTGTGGAGTCTTGCTGCGGAAGTTTGCTTTCTGCGGCCCATGCCATCGCCTCTCGATCCTCCAGTACCTGCCATGGGTCCTCTTCCAAATCTGGTGGTGGCGCTTTGCTTGGTGTGGAGTCTTGCTGCGGAAGCTTGCTTTCTGCGGCCCATGCCATCGGCAGCTGCGTGAGATCGTTTGCCGTTGCATTGTGTGTGTCCTCAGACGTGCGCCCTTCCTGCTGCGACGGTGGCACCTTTGGCTCTGACTCCTGTCCATCTTCGCTCAGCTCTTGGAGTTCGGCCCCAGCATCGCATGCCTCCAGCCCCTCGTCGGTGGTCCTCTCCGAACACGCCCCGTCCATATGCGCATCGCTGTCTTGGGACTCCTTGGCTCCACCTGAGAACGAAAACCCTACATCACACGGGGGATACGAAGGGAGTCAAACAGCCAGACAGTGCGACCTCCCTGCATGAGAAAACAAGCGGCTTTCTGAATTCTACTGTGCTTTGGATTTTCGAACGCATAGCGGCCCCTTACCATGCGAACAGGGCCACTTGGATCTTTCTGCACCGACCGTTCTCTCCATGCAGAAGCCGAGAACCGCGGAGCAGGCTCCTGGCAGTCACAGAACCGGCGAGAACTTGATGCAGGTTCCCGTCACTCCCCTCTCCTTCTCCTGCACCTCATTGTCAGGAACACTCTCCTCGACCATTTCCTGCGCAAAAACAGACGTTCCGTTATAAATCGAAACGACCATCTTGAACGGAGTGAGCATAGAAGAGCCTTGGTAAACTGACCCTGAAGCTATCCGTACCGGCTCTCTCCATGCTAGGAGGCAACGTGTGTGATGGTGCTGCGGATCCTGGAACTGAAGATAAATTAAGGCGCTACGGATGACCTTTTTCACAAAAGGCCACTGCAGTCGTACTGATCCAGAAGCTGAGCGATCAATGCACATTCTCCATTTCGGCCGCCGTGTCTGTAAACGAAACTGCATGTACATGCGTCACCATTGATTATGTACTCGTGCACTGCTTCAAAAACAAGGCAGAACAGTATCAGAATCTCGCCGTAGTCTTCAGGAAGTCGAGCTTACGCTGACAGCTTCGAGTCCTGCAGGCAGATCAGGCAGACGTCATACAGTGCCAAACATCGAGCGAACATCCGCAGCTTTGAGCGTCCTTGGAAGCCTCCGGCGGATCACCTTCTCCTCGGTGCGAAAAGACAACAAGCCACAAGTAGAGCGCTCAAGAAAAGAAAAAAGGAACCGCAGCTGTCGATCTGTGGTTTCGCCAAGTCGCTCTCCTTGGGCACCAGAGGAGCCTTCTCGGCCTTTTTCTCAGGGCTCTCCGAGACGAGGCCGTCGTAACCTCGCTCAGAGCAGAGCGCGCTTGGGCGGTTTTAAGGCTCTCGAGGCTCGGCTCTTTGCAGGCCCAGGCAGCTCTTGTAGAAGAGTGCCGCAAAGACGAAGCCCAGCGCCAGCACTTGGAAGCCGGTGATGTAGTGGCCATACTTGATGTAGGAGGTGATGATGGACACCCTAAGCAAGGGCCGCACTGGGTCCGGATCCAACACATTCCTAAGCCCAAACTCCCAAACCACTCACATTAATGCGACACAGCCGCAGCTGCCGAACATTCATCGTAGCAGCAAAAACGAGCGCACCAAAGTCCTTGATCTGCCTCAGCGCTGTGCATGTGTCTGTGTGTGGTTGTGTCTGCCTGTACCTGTGCACACTCCTATATGCTACGTGGATGAAGGGCATGTCTCCCCCAGATGCAGTTCAGACGCGAAGTGATGAACCACTGGCTTGCAACCTGCCCGGGAGCGATGACAAACCTGTAATGCTACACCGACACATGTCCAAACACTTCAAGGAATCCCGCTCGAAACCCAGATTTTTGGGTCGGGCGGGTGCCTGCGAGACGCTGAGTGTCATAGCGTCTCCAAGCAGCGGCGGATGTGCGCGGACAAAGCTCAAAGCATCGCCCAATCCACCAGTGGCTTGGCCAAAAAGCAGCATGTAAGCAATGCTTTCAACGGCATCACACAGAAGTGCGCAAGTCAATTACCGAGACGTCGACTCAGAAGCGTGGTCATTGAAACAATCGCCGAAAAGGTGTTGACCCACAGTAGCTGGTTGTACCTTAGCACGCACGATCGAGGTTATAATAGCCACTCACCGTCACGTTGTCGTTCCATTGGGCGTCCGGCTTTGACAGGTTGTATTCCTTGAAAAGCTTCTCTTGCATCGGTGAGGTGATTCCATCCAGCGCGAGGAAAAGAACCAGCAGAAGCAGCCCTGGCAAGTCTCACTGCTTGGCCTGCCTGACACATTCCTCTGCCCTAAAGCAAACGGGGCAACAGGCACCTGAAGACACCAAAACGTGTTGCTTTCGGGCAGCTGCATTTTGCGGGCTACAAGACTGTGCCAGCGCAGGATTCTGGACATGGACGAAGGATCGGAAACGCAAAGTGCACAACATGCGATTCGCCTTTGACGCTGTTGCTGGTGTGGTCGTCATTCTCGCCAGATTCTGTCGCAATCGGTCCGGTGAGCAAGAACTGCGTCACTCCCCAAGTCACGAAGAAGGCGACACCCCACTCCTGCAGCTTGTGGGGCCCTGGGGCCCTTGAATGCCCCAGCCAGGATGGCCCTGCTTATCTCAGCTACTGTACGGACTTGCACACCGACTTAGCTGCGGCCTTGGCTGTGTAGCTCTTGGACCTTGGAATGCAGATCGCAGCCCTTCTGCTGGCATGCCCTTCTCTTGAAGTCTGGTAGCGAGATGACAATGCCCCAGAGCATCACTGGCATCATCTTGAAGCTCTTACCGAGCATCTGGACCGGGAAAGATACCTTAAAAACTCCAGCCAGTGCACACGCGAGGCCACAGAGACTGCGGGATACATCTGCCGTCCACATTCAGCTGCCATGGTGCATACTTCAACGCTTCGTACTGGCATGTTGAAGCAAAGACGTTGGATAAGGACCTCTGGTCTGCCAGTTCCAGCTAGGACCGGATTGCTTGACGATCCCTGCAAACGAGCCAAGGTGCACAATCAGATAGTAAACCAGTGGGGCCTTTAACGTCCACTCTTCCTGACGAATTTTGGCCATCGCAAATGCGAACCTTCAAGAATCTCAGGGATCTCAGGGCACTATAACACGACAGTTGGATGGTGCTGCAGCAACAACAGCCGCCGAGCAGCCAGATGGCACAGAACCGGTTGCAGAAGACTAGGAACCTCAGGTGGTGGCAGGTAACCTAATTAACATGCGGAGCCAGGGGGCTCAGGAGTAAGGGTTGCAAGGGTTGCCGTCAGACACCGCAGTTGGGGGAAACCAAACGAGACCTGTGACGGAAACCAGGAAGCGAGAAACGAAAACCGCCGTGAACCCGCAGCCCTCTTCCCGGCAACAGGCAACAACCCCGACGGCTCAAGACCTGTTTGACCTATTTCTCAAAAGAGCAGTACTGACAATAAAGAAGCAAGGCAAAGTCTTTGGAGCAAGTAGGATAATCAAGTTCTGGTAGCTGGTGCTGCGGTTTGGCTCCCTATGGTTTCCGCGTTACAGGAACCCCCAGTCACGGGGCCTGGATTCCGCTGCGTCCTATGTTGGCCTCGGCGGGCTCGCTGTTACGCGTACTCGGGGACTTGGGTGGGCGATTGGATGCCTTGCGCCCATGGAGCTGTCGGCCGCACCAGCAACTACGAAAGACGATGTGGACCCTCCTTCGCACCTCTTCTCGGCTGAATTGCAGGAATTAACTTGCCGTCCATCTCGCTGCTGCAAGCCCTACGACTCTCTTGGCGGACAAAGCAGCACGGATGTCTTGAACATGTCGTCGCCATATGGCACGGACATAATACGCTCCTGCTGCAAACCATACACCCACAACGAACCGATGATTCCCACCACATAGACCTCAGACTGTCAGAGTGTTGGCTTGCAGGTGAGCCACACAGCAGCACTCTGACTCTTCAACTGATTTTGACGAATAGCGGAGCCCCAAAGGAGTTTATGCCATGCATTGTCGTCGAGATGGATGGACATGCCGATGGGGATCGGCTCTCATGAAACCTCGGAGATCTGATTGGAATCCGGCAGCCGCTGAAAAGGTCCGAGTGCTAACAATGGCAGACTCCGCAATCATCTCCCAGCACTCAGAACTTGGCAGGTTCGGTGAGCACGGGATCCTTTGATCCCTTCTGAGACGAAACGCAGCGGCCGGCAAGAAGGTTAGCAGACCATGCCACGTGCAGGATCCCGGCGCTGCAAGATGGGATTGCGGATGTGCAACCCCTGTTGGACACAAAACGCGCTTGGGGTGCTTCGCGGGTAGCACAATGCCCAGCACCCACAACATTCCAAACAGGTGCATCGCCAGGGTGTTGAGTGCTTGGGTTTCCATGCTTGAGAGTTGTTAGTCAGTGCGGTGTTTCTCGACTTCGTGGACTTCTTCGTTGCCAGTGGCCTTGCCTTTCGTTGCTGGTGAAATGCGTCAGTTGACATGCTGGTCCATCAGTTTCTCATGTCAGAGATCTTGAGCGGCTCATCCTCCCTCATCTTCAATTCCGAAAGCTTCTCGGACCGCTCGTTGTCGGTGTCGTCCATCAAAGGCGTGACCTTTCAGTTGTCGTTTCTATCGCATTGAACTGAAGGCAAACAAGACACGATGAGGTCTGAACATTCGTCAGCAACCGTGCCAAACGTGATGCCCTCGTCGCGGCCAAGGACATCCCAGTCCCTGGCGGTGAAAGCAAGCCGAACATCAACATCGCCTAGCAAGTCCGAATTCAGAGACCGCGTGGAGAACTGGAAGCCGCCCCTGGCCTCTGCCTCCCCTCCCTCCGCGGCCGAGGCTTCGCAGGCCACTGCGACAGCTTCGGGCCTGAGCATACACCAAATGCATTGCAATCAATTTGGGCTTCTGAGGTGGGGCCCCGGCCAGTAGCATCCGGAAGAGCCTTGCATCAAAGCAGTCCTTTGGCTCGAAGGTCCAAAGCCTCTCAGCTCACAGCGCTCCGAGAAATGCACTCTATCAATCGAGCAGGAGCCAAGCAGCACACTCTTCCAGTTCCAAGAGTCGGCCAAGGCAGATCAATCCACGCAGTGTGTCCTGCGACAGCGAAGCTGGACAGGGTAGGAAAGCAGGGCCAGTGCCGTGTCCTGGAATGCCTCCATCACTTCAGCAGGCTCATCAGGCACACTAATCTCTGTGACCTGCAGCTGACCGGAGGATGAGCCATCGGGCTGGAGAGCACCGAATCAAGCGACCGTGGAATACACAAACTCGGTTCGCTTCTCATTGCCTCATCGTCGCCCAGGATGTCCAGCAAAGAGTTCATGAAGGCAGTTGCATGCCGCCTCCCCAACAACGATTACGACGGCGAACACGAGACAACAACGACAGCAGCAACAACAACGACAGCAGCCGCCACAGCCACAGCCACAGCCAACAGCCGACGGCCAACGGCCAACAACCCACAACAACAGCAGCCACAGCAAGAGCAACAGGAAGATGAACAGAAACAGCAACAACAACAACAACAACAACGACGACGACGACGATTACCACAAGTTCGCGCAGCGTTCTGTGACGAAAATTACGTTTTGCACAGCGTGCATGGGACGAGCGGCATGTCAGTTTTTGGGAAGATGCCGTTCGACAAATACTTATCGATGTTTTAGGCATGTTGATTTCCGTGGAAGCGGAAATTCCGATATGCGTTTCACGTGGCCTGCGTCGGACAAAAGCCATTTTTTGGTATGCACCGTTCACACACTTGGTCTCCGCGGCCATTGCATTGGTGTTCCTAAGGAACCTGTTTTGCAAGACAAATTTGTTTGGGAAAATGCTGGACTCCTGGATGCAGAGTTTGGAAAAGTGCGTTTTTGGTTTGCGTTGGTCGTTGCACTGGGCCTGTGCGGCACAAAAGGCACTGTCTGCAATAGACGATAGTAACATTGAGATGATAGTGACGAAGAGCCGTATGCACGAGCAAGAACTCGAACAACAGCAGCAAGAGGCACAACAGAAGCGGTGGCAGTAGCAGTTTGAGTCGTACGAGGATGCGAGTAGTAGTAGTAGTAGTAGTAGTAGTAGTAGTAGGAGTAGGAGTAGGAGTAGGAGTAGGAGTAGGAGTAGTAGTAGTAGTAGTAGTAGTAGTACGAGTAGGAGTAGGAGTAGTAGTAGTAGTAGGAGTAGTAGTAGGAGTAGTAGTAGTAGGAGGAGTAGTAGTAGTAGTAGGAGTAGTAGTAGTAGTAGCAGGAGTAGCAGGAGTAGTAGTAGTAGTAGTAGTAGTAAGTAGTAGTAAGTAGTAGCACTGGCAGTAGTAGTCAGAACTGCAGTAGCATGTCACAAGCCCTGGAGACAAAAGGATGGCCTGTCTTTCTCACTCCCACAGCTAAGCCCGATCTTCGCCGGGTCGCAAAACGCATCATCATCATCACCTATCTTTCTCGGATCATGGTTGGGCCATGGATACTCTTTTCTCAGAACGGATTATGTAGACCATGGACAACATTATGGTTGGGCCATGGACGCTCTGTTTCCAGAATGGGCCCTGGATGCTCTCTTCTCAGAACGGATTAGACCATGGACGTCATCATGGTTGTAGCGGAAACAGTGCAAATACCGCTGGTTTCGGTACCGCAAGCACAGGAAACAACGTGAATACCGAGGATTTCGGTATATGCAGAATTCGTGAATTTGGAGGCGCTGGGAACACCGACAACACTGATATCTTCGGCACATGAAGCACCGTAAATAACGAGAGAATCGGTATGTCGCGGAATGTCGGAGTTGCGCGTTTACATGGGGAATGAGCCAATAACAATAGCCCTTTGACGGTAGCATTTGCCCCATGCCTGGGTTTCAGCAGCTCAATCATCCATGCCAGGGACTCAAGCTCCTCGCCAGGGTGCAAGAGACCAGACCAGAGGCTCTCGTTTCTCCTCACATCGCCTGGGCTCGGAAGGAGACCGACCGAGCCGCGAGATGCACGGCTGCTGCAGCCCCCAGCGGCTCCCAGCCCTGGAAGCCTCGCTGATTTCCGAATTCTAGTCTGTAAGCTGCAGTGCGACACTGCTATGAAAGTCCGCCAGAGTGAACGGAAACTCACGGCGCTTATTTCCGTCATTAGCCTGCTGTGCTTTCCAAACACGAGCTCCGCACAATGTTTGGAGCCTTCTTTGCGGCCGCATCGTTCCACAAGAGATTCTGCAAGTTCAACCTTAAGGAGACTCAGAGTGACAGCACGCTCCTCTGCTTGCAAAAGCGGATCCAGGCAAAAGCCAACGGCCGCAATTTCACCTTTTCGAAGCTCCCTCCGCACTCCACAGAGCTTTGCTGCAGCCGCAGAGACAAAACTGCTTGGCACTCAAATGAGGCATCATCACAGGCTCATTGAACCAACACTCACTTCGCCAGGTTCTTTCAGAATGCAGCGAGTGATAACCCAAGAACGGGTGTCAACACGAAAGGACACTAGGACACTACAGCAGCAAGTTCGAGCAATCGAGTGACACATAAAGCCAGATCATCACCCATCGTCGCTGATCCGTCACAAAACCTTGAATGACAACAAAGCTCCCCTTGACTGAGCCCAGACACGCTACTTCGCTCAAGTACGCTTCTGTGCTCATGCTGACTGCGCATCCCTTTCCGTCTCACCCTCAGAGGCTGTGCATTCTACGTTCAAGCTCTTGCCTGGGTCGCCCATGTAATCGCCGAGCACACAGGCAACCTGGCGATTATGTCAAGCGTTCTCCTACAAAAAAGGTCTTATGGATAGGTTTTGGACTTTGGACCGCTTCGTCCTTGTAGGATAGTATGCTATGCTACACTAGACTTTATGACGGACCTTACTTTTTGAAACAGACTGTGCACTGTCAAACTTTCCTTGAACAATCGGGTCGTTTGCGAGTTTGCCCAGGCGGAACCCGCTTGCTTCAGGCGGCGGCCTGGTGATCAACGGAGTATTTGCTTCCTGTACGGTCTACGGGTTTGGATTTAGGGTTTCGGAATTTGGGTTAAGGGCTGGGGGGGGTATGTCAGTCTCGAAGCTTGAACCTGGAGGCATGGATCATCGTGGGCCGGGCGCATGCGCGTAGGACTAAGTAGATGAAACGATTTTAAGCTGCACAAGGCATCTTTCGAGGCTTCCCTTCCGAGCGGCAGAAGAACGAGGAGACGAGCTCGCATCATCTCGCCAAGAAGTCCTCGGAGCACCCAAGTCCAGCGAACGACAACCATGGGGATGAGAAACCTACTCAAGATTCAATCCTACCGCGGCTCACGTGGCTCCCTTGGAATCCGAAACCAATCGGAAACCCGAACACGGTCGCCGCGCCGAAAGCCCTGAGCTCTGATTCTCACATTTCACCAAGTTGCACGAAGTGCACGGGCGAGGTCTGAAGAGCCCGAATCACTCTCGAGCCGCAACGCTGCAGGGTACCGCAATCAGCGCACGAGGTGCACGGCGGCTTCCGGAAATGGGCAGCCGATAGGACAGTCTGCAGTGCTCAGCTGCACCGTCGAGCCATGTGGGCAGCACGAGATGACAGATCAGGCTTGACTGCGGCCCCCGGATTTTCTGGCACCAACAGATTTGCCGATAGCATTTGTTGAAGTTCGCTTCAGGATGCACATGTGGGTCATGGACATACAAGGTCAAGACTCCCCGATCGAGGAGATCGAAGACGGGTTTCTAAAACCGAGCTTTGCTCTTCATTGACCCGACTCCTTGTAAACAATTCTCCTTGATTAGTCGCACTCTCTCAGTGGATCACCCAATCGCTTGAAACCAACCTTGAGGATGGATGCAGCCGTGTAAGAACCTATGCTGATGGAACCATCGGACTGCACTTGCAGCCAGTGTTGCCCGCCGCCGTACCTCTTCAATTCGACCTCCCACCGTCCCCGAGTAGCGGCGTAAATCTTCTCATCAAAGGTGGTGTAGTCTTGGAAGTCGGCGTTGCATATGAAGATGTCGTTCTGGAGTCTGCAATGGTTCCGGCGGCGCTGGTGTGGAGCTGTGAAGTACACACCTCTCCGTCTCCCCTGATACACATTGAACTCGCTGTTGCCGGAAAGTCCATTGAATTGGCAATAGACCTTCCCTTGTTGGCTTGGCAAATAATTGCATACTTTGCCCGTGGCCTTGTCGGCCAATGAGACCCTGTGTCCGTCCTGCAAAACGCACGACTTGTTCCTCTGCAGGACTTGATGAGGGAAGCGATTCACCACTGGCCACCCATCATACCTGCAGTTCATGATGTTGTCCGATTCTGATGTTCCACAATGGTCGTGCTGGTACCTAAGTCGCTTGCAGAAGACAGAACCAACGGGAGGGAAGAAGCGAAGAATCTGAAGGCTCAGGATTCAGGAGTTACCTTCAAACGATTGGAAACTGCGGCGCGGGAAAAACTCCAAAAAGCAATGTCGATGCTAATGGCCGCGGCACAGGTTGTTGCGTCTGCGCCTTCCTCGACGTCGAGCGCTTCCGGAGTTGGACAAGCGGTAGTTGACGTGGTCAAAGGTTTCCCAAGATCCTGGGTTCCAGGGCTCTGCTGTGCTGAGTCGGTCATGCTGGCCTGCTTCTAACGTCTAGGCTCTAGAAGTAGGGGGCTAAGTTACATGTGCGTCTTGCTCGGCACGGTCCAGAAATTTGAAAGAGCAAAACAAACGGCCAGCACTGCACACTAGGTCACTAGAACAAGTAGGCGGAATTCACTTGAGGGTCCTTGCCGATCTCTGTTGCAGATCAACTGGTTGTTCCTGCTTCCATCGTCGGCGCACCACTTTCCATACCTCCCTCCCTTGAAGCCAAACCTGCCATTCGGGGCGCGGTGAGCTTCAAAGGTTTCCCAAGTTCCTATCCATTGGCGATTGCATTTGATCTTGTCACCCTCATCTGCACAGAAGCGGCCGTCGTAGGGCCCTCCGTCTTGCCTCAGTACGAAGAGGTCGCCGTGTTGCAGCTACGGACCGAACTTTGTTTTCGACTTCGTACCATTGGTCGTGACTTGCAGCACGGCACTGATCTCACTGGCGCAAGAGTCACTGCAGTTGGAGGCTGCAACCGCAAGGCTCAGGTGGATGAAGCTCAGAAGAGCTTGCGCTGCAGGCGCTTGCATGAAGCTCGGCATTGCCGGGCAGGTGCAAGCTTGCACAGCAGGGGCGGACGGATGAAGCTGCTTGGATCCAAAATGGCTCCGTGCTGCAACGTGCGCTACCAGTCTCACGAAGCGCACACAGAGGGCATGGCGTAGTGTCCTAGCGTGCAACCGAACAAGCTGTGCACGCGACCGGCACTGTTGCCAAAGCACACATATGTCGAAAGACTTCACTCCAAACTGTTTCAGGCGTAGTTGTCATTCCCGTTTTCATGCGCGTCTGCGCACCTTCAATTCCATCCCAGCCCCCCTCCCCTGGAAATACGCACTCCCAGCCTCTAATTGAAAATCAAACTTTCTCGCAGCTCGGATGTTGCCACGACGGTAGATTTAGCGGCACTGTGGGCCTCGGAAGACACCTCAGTCTCAGCCTCCGCGGGGGGTCTTCACAACTCGGAACCGGGAGAGGTCTGAAACGCCCCAAAGGCGAGCTACGAGCCTGGAGACTTCTTGATCGACACGGGGTCACGGAAGGATTCCATGTATTCCAGGTGGGGCTTCTCGTCGTGTGGAGGTTGCGTGTGCACGAAAGAAAAACCACCGGACACTTTGTGACCTGTCACGCGGCGCTGAGCGAGTCTTCAACCTCCAGCCAGTCTTTCAACGCCGGAGGCCCTAACAGCTGCGTTCCCTTTCAGGGAGCCGTGGGTGCTCGCGGACGCCTCGGCCTTTCACTAACTTTTGGAGCTTCACCCCTGTAAGGCTGGGATCCAAATTGCAGAAAGCGAAGGCGCGCCCCAGGTAGGCCACTACTTCGGGAAAGCGGGCATGGTTCCCTTCGTCAGCACCAAGGGCGACATCTTTCTGATCACGAAAAGATCCACGAAGATCTTCAGCATTTCGAAGATGGACACCATGCCCCCACGCCACAAATCCAGATAGAAGAGCAGGAACTCCGCTGTGAAGGCATGGTCGGAACGGAAGCCGTTGGACTGCCGAGGCTAAAACATGCAAGAGAAGCTCGTAGAAGACTACGGCGACTACGATCAGGCTTCCCTATGTGGAGGTCGGAGGTCACAGGCGTCACCCCCCATGCGTTCTCTCTTTTTCAGGCCCCATGCATGGCTCGACCAAAGCTGCTTCCGACGTTCTTACTAGTGTGTTGGATCGCCGGCGAGGTCCCACTTGCAATGCAGCTTTGACATCATTTTCTACGTGTGCATCCTCCCTTCCCCCAGTGTGGGATCTTTGCAGCAGCTCAGGGGTAGTGTGGTCGTTCAATGCTGCTGTAGAAGCACATTAAGTTTGTGACGCGGGAATGGCTTGTCTTTGACCCCCATGCCTGTGTCTGCCTCGGAACTACCAAGGATTATGAGTATTGTCATTGAGTTTTTTTGCAGTCGGTGCTCGCGTCGTCGCCTTCGTATGACTCAAGCATCTTATTCTTCTTACTCTGATTATCATGACTCTTGTCGTCCCCTGCCCAGAAAGCGCCTTCCCGGCACTCTGGCTCGACCAGTCTTGCCGAGCCCTGGCGACAATCTCCTCCTCGCTTCGGGCAGCTTGCAGGTAATTACCTCCGGCAGCCGGGGTCTGGGCTGTGGTTGGGGAATCAAGGGATCCTGGAGTTTGGGGAGCACAGCTGCCAGTTGGAAGTCTCTTGGGTTGAGGATATGGCAGGGTTTAGGGATCTGGCACAACTTCCTGCCTCATGTCTCACAGTTTGGGGGGGGATTCTCTCGAGAAGCACCCCTGGCTGGGAAGCACCAGAGTCCTCAGCGGCAGCTCATACATGCGAAGCAATTGGTATTTTTCAAGCTGCACTTAGACCCCACTCCAGGAACAGCGGGAAACTGCAGCACACAATCCTGTCCGCCCACAAAGCCCACACAGCAATTCATGCGACCCTGCAGGCGCAGACGGAGCCTTGATTTCCCGAACAAGCCCACCCCATCGTTGAGGTCCTTGATCTCGTTAGGAGTAGGGCAGGGCTTGAACTTGTCCACATCTCCACATGCGCACTTGCAGGCAGCCTTGCCCGCAACTCGGCCAAAAATCACGCAGTCCAAGAGGGAGTTACCACCGAGTCGATTATCGCCATGGATGCCGCCTGCCGCTTCGCCAGCAACCTACAGACCCCAGCTGCCTGTCTTTCCCATGAACTTTTTGGCTTTCACTGAAAATGTTGAGGCCTTTACAAGGGTTATAACTTATAACAGTTGGACGTTCTAACACACGAGAAGAAGCTCTAGACGTGCTTGGACTCACCCGCCTCCCTCGCCACGGCGGTAATGATGGCCACGTAGACAGGCTCCGTGGGAACGTTCGAGCCATCGATGATGCTGTGGAAAAAACATTCGTTCACTGCCCGTCTTGCACCTAACACTGTTAGAAGATGTTAGAAGGATTCCATTGCTCTTTTGTCCAACTTCTCCATGCTACGAGTTGTAAGGCTCGAGAGTGCTCGTGTTCTCGATACCTCACCTATGAAAATTATGGACACATAAGCGAAGTCAAGGTTGGACTAGAATGACCACGAGAGAAGTCACATGCAGCCCATGCTGCTGACGAGGCTCCTGCTTCTCTGCTGCCTCGAAGTGTCCGCTTCACAGAGCCGCAACCGTCTTGGAGTTGGTGAGTAGCTTGTACACCTCTACCTTGGTGACGATTCGAGCCCTGTTGGAATCCTCCACGACCTTCTCGAGCGACTGGATGAGAGCCGGTAGGTGATGGTCATCCTGCAGAAGAGCTTCTTTCCGCAGTGGGTCTTGGGCTGGGAGTGACTGCTCAATCGAGCCAGCAAAGACAGGTCCAAGTCGAACCTGGAGTCTACTGCTGCAGTTGGCACAGAGTACTTTCGCAAACTCAGGCTTCTTGGCATCACCCCTCAGAGTGTCTACGAAGACTTCGGCGTCCGGGTGTCGGATGTCGGATGGCGTGACCACAGGATGCTCAGGCTGGGCTGATCCTAGAGGCCTCTCCGGTCCGGTGCTCATGGGCGCAAGTGCACACTCAACCGCGCCGCAGCAGCGCTGACACGAATGGCCTCCACCTCCAGGGGGGGTGCCTGTGCAGAGGACCTGGCATGGCCCTGACGTAGCGATATTGTCCGGGATTGACTTGTCTGCTGTTTCCGCAGAAAGACGACTTGTCTACTGCCCTGTAGCAGCAGCGTCCGGCCACCGTTCTCAACAACGGTAGCGGCGGCGCGGACATGCCCGCGAGGCCACCGCCGCCGATCGCCTGATTGGCGGGAAAGACGGCCGCCATCGTAAATGCAACAGCTACAGCAGCTACAGTAATGCTCAATTTCAGCGGCTGCTTGTGTAACTGTAGCTTTTTACCAAAAGGGCTTGAGCACGGGAGGAATGTGGCAGAGCATGCTTTTGAAGACCTCACCACTTCCAGAGGTGCAGTATGCGCCCCCGATGAGTGCACCGAGGCTCCGAACCCAGCTTGCCAGCCATGCATCGCAGAGGCAAGCTCCTCGAGCGGCGCGCTCCTTGCATCGTCTCTCTTACAAGGCGGTCTCCAGCAAGATATCGGCCGAGCTTGCGGCGAGCAGCCAGGCTTTGGCCTCTACCAGACAGAATCGAAGAGCTGAATCAAGTGATGTCATGTCCTGGAAACAACGGCAAGAAGCCTTCGAGGGCAATGCACGAAGATTTCGCAGCAGGGGCGCATTTTGCAGGAGGCAGCGGGCTAGCCTCACGAAGGTGCTGCCGCACAGCAGACTGCGAAAGAACACCAGGCCGACAGGTAAGGAAACCGCTCGGCCAGGGGTGCGTCGGCAGAAGGATCTCACGGGCCAGTGCTGCGTTTCGACGACTTGCCGCCCACATGCATGACAGCTACGTAATTGCCAGCGGTGTTTGTGCACCTGCAGACTGAAGCCACAAAGCCGTCGTGTGCGAGGCGGGCAGTTCCACGTCTGTCCCATTGGGCCGAAAGGTCGGCCGAAAGGTCTCAAGTCCCAAGGATGGAGGCTCGACCTGCACGGAGCAGAGTGGCCAAGGCCCAAGAGTGCGTTGACCTGCCTGACAACGGTCCGGTGTCACCTCCTGCTTTGCTTGGGGCTTGGCCTCGGTTCGCACCACTTTCTTTCAAGGCACCACGCCACCTGTCGAAAACCCTATCGATGGTGCGCTCTCCACATGTTGCTCGCCTGCCATTTAAAGTCACAACCACATCCCCCCAGGAGGCGGACCCAAACCAGAGACTGGCCCGGCAGAAGTCCTAGGCTCTGACCTCGGACAATGACTCCAGCCTGAGCGGGAAAACGCGCCATGCCCTTCGACAGTAGAGTCTGACCTATCAATGCGTGGACATCTACTGACAGATCTCCGACCTCTGCAATGCGGCTTCTGCTGAAAGCTCCGAACCTCACATCCGACACAGCTTTGTGGCCTGCGTCGCGAAGAATGAAACCAAAGGTTAGCTCCGATGGCCTGCTTCGCCGCCTTGGTGGCAAGGCTTCATGCGTTGACTCGTCGCGCCATTGTCATTGAAGTTGCGAAGATCTAGCATCTAACGCACACACACCTTTCACTTCAATGTCATCTGTTTTTTAACATCTGCTCTCTGCTGGCCTGGGCCTGGAAGCTGGAGAAGCCACTCTTGCGCAAGCGGGGAAAGCTCGAGCTCTTCCGCGCCGAACCTCGCAGCTCATGCTCGCGACTCAAACCCAGCTGTCCAGCTTCCGTCCTTTCCGAGGTTCGCATTTTCTCTGCATCGGAAGGGGTGTCTCGGCCGCGAGCGTCGCGCTGATCGCTTTGGCAAGCGGAAAATGCTGCTGCTTTTACAAGATTTAGAACACGGAGGGGAAGTTGTTCGTTCTGGTCATCTGCTGCAAGCCCATTGGCCAATTCAGGATTCTTCCGTCATAGGTCCGCTGGCAGTCAGTTGGCCAGAATGTCGTTACTGGGCTTGTTCTTGAAGGCGTCGTACATCACGAAAGGAACTGCTTTGCCTTTCCGTAAGGCCTCAACGTCTGCCTGCATGATGTCGTACGGGACATCCCCTACCAAGGCAGTCTGGACCCGATGCGAGGAGTCCAGCAAAGCCACATGGGGCAGACCGTCCACCTTGAATTTTCGCGCCCACCTGTCCGTGTCCTTGTCGTACGGGAACGTTGCCGGCATGTCTTGTCCTGATACAAAACGCTGCCGACATATCTTGAAAAGACTTGATTACACTTGCAACCGACAGGAACGAAAGCTCCTACAGCGGCGACACTCTGAACTTACATATCTTTCCCTTGGCAGAATGCGTCGGCGCGGATCGTCGGTCCCGCACAAGAAAGCCAGTTCCGTTTCTCCAAGTTCCCCCCCTCAACAAACAAATCTCGAGTCATGTGACAAGTCTGCGGCCGCTTGCAATTTCCCGGCAGAGCGTTGGGGCTAGGTCGCCAAACCCATAGTTTGGGTGAGCTCTACAGGACCACGCTCCAAACCAACCCTGAACAGGCCAGCGAAGAAGAGTATTCCACGAAAGCCCACTCTGTTGTGTATGGCTCGACATGGGGACCCGGGTGACACTACTGCGAGCGGACAGCTCGGGGAGCGAAAGCCTGGCCCATCGAAAACGAAATCCATCGTAAGGGTGCTTCAAGATACAAGGAACATAAGCATATAACCAAAAACCGCGAGATACAGCGAGACTAGTGCCTTGCTTCTCTGTCTGACGGATAGACAAACAGTCAGACCGACGTGCAGCTACACAAACTCCCGGATATCGACAGGGGATTCGGATGCTCAACTCGATGTGACAACTCATCCTGCGTGATGCAGCTGCGGAGATCTAAGCTCAATCACGGGCCAGAGCAAGCCCCGGGCTGAACACCTCATGTCTACGCGGGCACGGGCCGCCAAGGAGAGAGTGCATCACAGATTTGTGGGGCTGGCGTGGCGTGGGATCAATCCCAGTGTTGCATTTTTCACACAGCGGCTTCGGGATCCCGATACCGTGGTCACAACACCTCGCGAGCATCATCCGCAGCAATGCCTGCATGGTCCCGTGCCCCATGTGCGGCGCCCTCCGTCCGTACTGCACATGTAAAACAAAAAACCTGGACTCCAGACATCATCAGAGAGTCAAGGCACGATAAAAACAACACATGCGGTCCCAAGAAACAGTTGTGACAGCAGCAGTGTTGCCGCAGACTGAAGATGCTTGGACATCAGGGTTGTGTCCGAAATCGGGTGTCTAGCGACCCATAGCCAGCCGTGCACGAGTTTCCCACAGAGGCGAAGCAAAATGACTGTCTAACCCAGCAACCAAGTTTCGAGTCGAAAAAAGAAGGGCCCCCTGGCCCAAACCTCTCCCTGGAATGCACGAGAAAACAAGTGCCCAGCCTGGACCTGCAAAGGACACGTCGAGCGTGACGAACTCCACCTCCTTGCCTGCCTCCTCCCGGATCTTTTGTAGCTTGGGAGCCATAGCCTTGCAGTCGCCGCACCAGGCCGCTGAGAAGTCCACTACCACTGGGCGCCCCAACCTTCCAGGAGAATTGAGGTGGAAGTGGCTCATGCTGCAGACTTTTGAATGCCAGGCCTCAGCGCATCCTCGAGCTTTTTCGATCCAGCAGCCAGTTCCTTGATGCTCTTGGGACTCTTGAGCTCGAGGCTCTCGGCCCAAGCAACGCCTGGAGCCGCGAGCGGCACCGCCAGCGATGTCAAGGCCGCCCGGCGTGGCCCCGAAAGGAAGCCGACGCCGCCCCCCAAGGACAGCAGGCTGAAGGCCAGGCTGAAGGCCAGACTCAAGCTCAAAGCGCGAGACCCCACCAGAGCACCCTGGGCGCCCTGTCGCCGTGGCCGCGCCATGTTGAAGGCAGAGGCTCGGCTCTCGGCTCGAGCAAAAGCCCACGCGATCACAGAATTCTGCGCGCAACAGCGCCTACCTATACGGTACAATGGTGGACTTACAGCAGATTCTCTCTTACGTCTTACGCTTCTCCACAGGACTGGAGCGTTCGTCATGGGTTTGTTTCACTTCACAAGCATAAAGGACCGGAACATGGTGCCCACAAACCCCGAGGTACCAATCCTGACTGGCACCAGTCTGAGGGCGGAACACAACTGCTGACCGAGGGTTGTCCTTAAGCAGCCTTGCAGACTCGCCAGTCGCTTGCCGAACCGGAGGGCTGGAGCCGAAAGGGGGGGAAGCCTTGCAAGCAGCTCGCTGGGACCTAGGCGAGCGCTCCAAGGAAAGCCTCCGCAAAGCCCGCCAAGCCGGCCGCTCCGGATCTCAGGCTCCAACTCTGGTCAACCACCCTCCAGACGCAGCGCTCGCCAAGAGAGGCTTCCACCTGTTCCTTAAAGCCACGAGCCCACGCAACATAGCACAAAGCACCGACGATGCAACGTCCGCCATCTAGCCTCGGCAAGCCTGAACATCGGATCCTTTAACAGCTGGAGTGCGTTGTGTCGCAGCACATGCCAATGCTCTCTTGCGCTCCTCCTCGGCTCTACGACGATCCGAAATTCCAGAAGCCTGGGTGTATCAGCGCATCCGCAGCTGAATGCCAGTGCCAGCTTCATGTTGCGTGAAGCCGCGGGCCGTGAGGAAGCAGACTTCCACGCCCCTTGCACGCAGCCTTGACAGTGGTCGTGCAAGTGCGAATGGGCCAGAGCTAGGAAAAAGAGACGAGAAGCACAGCATAGGACAGTGGACGTCCGATAGACAGGCCCAAGCACCTTCGCATGATCGTCTTTACCCGCCGGCCGATTGCACGGTAGGTCCTCAGCACTCGAGTACCTCACAGATGGCCATCGAAGGCACAACATTTATGCTAAAACTGGGTGCCTCGGCGACGCTCCAAGAGAACGATCCATCTCCAGAAAGTCTGGAAATCCACCAGCACCTTTCTCAGTTTGCTTAGGCTGGTGCAAGTAGTCCGCACAAATCCATTGAACCTCAAGCCTCGGATGCGGTCTGCTGCTCTTCGCTGATAACTGACGAGAAAAGCCTTAGCCTGCAGGATCTTCGATTGTCGCTGTCTGATTCTGCTTGATTCCGATTATGTGGTGATCTGGCCTGGGATGCCGATGTCGTGTTGGGTTACAGCCAGAGCGCCGCCTTGCCCGAGCGAACGATCCAAGGTTTCGGTGGGACGCTGGTGGAAGGCCTGCCAGCCACAAAGGTCGCGGCCAACGGCGCGAACAAGCCTGGCACACGTGGTTCTGAGCATCGATACAGCGGGCGATGTGGAGCCTAGGGCCTAGCGCAGCTGCGGAACTTCTGGGCAAACATCTCTTTCTAATTCGTAGCCATGCCCAAGCTGCGGCTCCTGTCGGCATGAACAGTTGCACAGCTCCAGTCCATTAGAGCTCATTGCCTTGCTTCCGAGCCGATTTCGAAGGCGGTGCCAGGGGCATGCATGGCCTTCAAGACACGTGTTGCAAAAGCTGGATGTACCTCTTTCCTACGATCATCTCCCATCACTGCCGGCACCTTGTCCTGCAATCCGGAACCAAGCAGGAGTGAAGCATTTGAAAGTTGTGGATCGATTGCGACTTGCGGCGAGTAAGGAATGTACAGAGTGATGGGTGCGCTTACTGTCTAATTGGCTCCCTGGTCAAGACTGCTGCTAATATCCACTGACAGCAAGTAGCAAAAAAAACAGCTGTGGTAGAGCAGAGTTAGAGGCGCTACCATGTCACGCCATGTATGAGAGACCTCCACACGCGACATCAAGATGTAGCCGACAAGCTGTGTCCGCACGATGATGATGCTGGACGATGATGGCTGCAGGATGCACGAGCACAGTCAGTTCTCTTTCACGCACATATTTAACTGCTGTTCAGGAGATTGTTCAGGCGATGCTTCAAGGCTCCGGTGTGGGACTTGGCCACAATCGACAGCTGCTGATGCGCTTCTGCATATGTTCGCCTGGGATCGTCATCAACCAACCATAGCATCTTCAGCTGCCAGATAATGTTTGCCGTGTCGTCTTCTGAATTGGTGATGATGAGAGGGTCCATCAGCAGTTTGACCATAAGGGACGCCCACTTCTGACGCTGAGGCTTGTGTAGCGAGCGCAGTGTCCTCTCCAGCCTTTGCATGCAAAACCCTATCTCCTTCAAGTTGGCGTGTATGTTGGACTTGACTAAGTCTTCCATGCGAGCGAGCATGGCCTCTGCAACAGCTTGGTGCACAAAAGGGAGAGCATTGTTAGTGTAGTTGTGAACAATGAGGCCGGCAGCAGCAGCAATGGACACATCCTCACTCCAGCAGTGCCGCAGCAAACATTGAATGTTCCGACCAAGAATGTTCCGAATGCAGCTCTCGGCAAAATGGGTCGTTCTCTTGGATGCCAGGGCCATACACCAGAACCGACCTCAGAATCAAGCAGAGTCGGAGCAAGTTCGGCAAAGCGGACTGATGCGCTGACAGAAAGATCGATGTATAGTGGGGTCCTTCTTACAGAATGTGTCGATATGGGGGCCCCTGCTTCGCAGATTACCGCAAAGCTCACGCACTGAGGTACAACGCTCTCGAACCTGCATGGACAAATCTCATACACTAAGTTGTACTACTGCTACTACTACTACTACTACTACTACTGCTACTGCTACTGCTACTGCTACTACTACTACTACTACTACTACTACTACTACTACTACTACTACTACTACTACACCGTACTACGACAGCTGGGACTACGGTGGTCTTGGCAGGATACATGCTGCAGGCACGGGTCCGGCCCTGGGCAGGGCGAAGGACGCGGGAGGAAGAAAGATAACGAAGGAATATATGAGCTATCTTTTCTGATGTTTTGCCCGCCCCAGTCCCAGAGCCCTGAGCCCTCTGATCATGCTCGCTGAAGCCTTCAGGTACAACATCTTCTGTTTGGCTTTGTGCTTCCATGCGAACTACATGCAGATGTGAACATGCATGAGTGGATGCGACTCGTGCTGTGGTCAGCCAGGCAGGCGCCTTTCCAGACTAGCTAGTCATGTCAAGAATCTAAACGCACGTTTCACCCTAGTGAGAGTTCAGAGCTTCCTGGTTTTGTGCGGGCCCCGTTTTGGGAATGGGTCTTGAAGACTTACAGAAACCATTCATGCCTTTCAGGCGTCCTCACGCCACTCACTCCTTGTCGGGGCCACCCATCATCTTTGCATATCTTTGCACATAATATCTTTGAGGTATTAGTTTTGGGCCCCATACCTCCTGTTGGAGCTTGGGGAATCGTACGCCAAATCATCCGTTTCGGCGGAACCTTTGAGGTTGCGTCTGCGTGGTCTCACTCACAAAATCTGTGCTTTGTGCGTAGGGTTCTGTTTATGTTAGCCCCTGATTTCCACCTAAGAAACCAGTCCACTCTGTTAGGGCTTTGCCCATCATCCTGTTTCAAAGCTTGTGGCGTTGTTGGTGCCACTAATGTCTCGTCAGGGTTTTGGTTGGGGTGGGCACCTTGTAGACCTGGGAGCCAGTCACCTTTCTGGGGCCATGGGCGTCCATCATGTTTCCAGGCTTCTGTAAAATCCACTACCAAGTTTTGGGCTTGGGAACCAGTGACCTCTTTTCGAATTTATGAATTTTCCGAGCTGTTCGCTCCTTTCAGGGCCTCTGGTTGGCCACCATTGTCTGCCGCGAGGGTCACTTTGATCAGTCTTCCGAAACACTCTCGTTGGTACGGCAGTCATCCCCAGGGCCCATACTTTGCAGCCACGCCCCTTTTATGGCTGTTTGTTTTGGGATCCTCTGTAAGGCTTGGGGTTTGCTACACATCCTCATACATCCTCGTTTTTGCCCAAGGTTTGGGCTTGGCCGAGCAACTCTTGTTCGGATGTTTACGGACGAAGCACCGCTTTGATGGTTTAGAGTTCGTTTTGTGCTTGCCACCGATCAAGCCTTAGCGGATTTTGTGGTCTTGAAGGGTTTTGCGAACAACCCACTCCTTGCTGCGGTTGGGATTGTCAACTGCCATCCGCCCACACGTTCTTCAGGATGTAAAGTTATTCTCACGCACCGCCCTTTCAAACTGATATCTCCCAAAGGACGCCTCAGACACACTCACCAATAGTCACGTCGAGCCACATTATACTCTAATGATATCAACTGCATTGATCTACTGTGGTGACTGTGCTGTACACTCATGTAAACCCTACTGCCTCTGGATCACGCTCAACAGGTCAGGAGGCACTCGTTGAACTTGCGCTGCTCGGCATCGGCTGCAAAGGCTGCCCCGAAGGCTCCCCCAGGGCGGCCCGCCGCCACGCGCACTGTTTCCGCGAACTCGACAACTGCTTCTGGCCTGCACGGGCACAGTTTACAGTGGTGTCGGGACATGAAAAAGTCACAAGCATTTACGGCTGGCTAAATGTGTCTTCTCAATTCTTAATCCTTGCTTGTCAGGAAAGCACCACGCTACTGGCGTGCTCACGCATTAGACTACATGAGAAAGCGAACACCAGCAAGCATGCCTTGAGACTACATGTATGGGGCTTGCCCACTTTGCAGGAGCAGCTTTCAGACCGCCGTTAGGCTGTTTACGTGTGCCTTCGAAAAGGTTGCTCACATTGTGAATTGCAGTGCTTGGCTAGATGCACGACACTCCGAGGGGGTCGTGCCACGGCTGCAGCTTGCAAAAGGTGCCCTCCGACGGTTCCTTATGCCACGACGCTGCCAGGCCTTTCCATGCTGCCCATCTCGGCCAGGTGTGCTGTCAAGGCCTGGCAGCAGCACATGCGCATCCTGGAGCAGTCGGAGCCACGAAACGATTCAGACGGAGGGAGGTAGCAGACTGCAGGCCTCCGGGCTTCTGGTGCGTCTCGAAACGAGGCGCAAGGTCACCAACTCCCGCACCTGTGCTGCATTCTCAAACCTGAAGAACACCCTTGAAAGAGCATGTCGACATCTCTGCCATTAGCCGCTTCCGCTTCGCAACCAAGTCGCACCCAGGTACGGCAACAGGTTTGCCCTGAAGCTTGTTCGGCAGAGACGTTGCAATGGATCTGCTGTCTTCGAAAAGAAACAAAAAACATGCAAGCAGGCCACTGATTGACATTAAGTCGAGAGGCACATGGAGGTCAGAGGGGGTGCATTCCCCAGCGCCGACCTCGATGCCTGTGAGTGCCTGGGTTGAGGCTTCTGGCAGCCCTTAAGCGTACTGTGAACAGCTACTGCGACAAATCTTGCGTGCCCAGCTTCCGTCGGCGAGTGGGAACACACAGTGCCGTCCTCGCCGTCGGTCTGGCATGCTGCATCAGCGCTGCCTTCTCTCGCGGGAACGACAGGGCAGCACTCAGTCCCAAGGAAGTGCCTCAGCAAAGCCCAGGACCGAGCATCTGGGGCAGCTTAGGCACGGTTCAGCGCTGCAAGCAAGGTGCATATCGCAGCAGTGGTCACCAAGCTGGTCTTGGCAGATTGGCAGCCGTAACTGCTTGGCAGCCAGGGTTGGAGGCGCGCCCTCCATCACAACAGGCTCCTCCGATCATGGTTTTGGACAGGTCTGTAACGAAGTGACATCTTCAGGGACCACCCCCCCGTGACTCCACCGCATCCCTGACTCAGCTAGCTTCTCCCTGCGGGGGCTCGCTTTAGCTTGGGTGACTTCCACTGTTGGTCTGGGCTCCAAGCCTGCCGATCATCACCACGCTGCTGCCCTTCATGGAGGGCATCCTGCTCGTCTACACAACATGCACATCTTCTGCTGCACTTTAAAGCCAACCCCAGCCGTTTGCCAACCTGCGGACGACCAGACCAAGAATCCCTCAAAGCCCGCCTCCGATGCGAAAGAGTCATCGCATCTGCACTCTTCATCCCCCATCTCCGGGTCGCTTTCGTGGGGTGCTTCGGTGCTGAGAAGATTTGGTCTTTTCTTGGGCGGCCTCGACAGCGTGAACACTTCCACAACGCCGATGGGCGCTCACAAGGCAGATGCTGAGAGCACGGCTCGTCCCACGGAGTTTCCTGGCACCTCGGCAGCAGCGTGCTGCAAGATCTTGCAAGGGGAGAGAAAGAAGAAGCGCTGCCCAGGGCACTGTGCAGTGCCGAGGGGTGTCGTGGGAGCGATAGGGCAGCACGAAGTCCCAAGGAAGTGCCTCAGCAAAGCCCAGGACCGAGCATCTGGGGCAGCTTAGGCACGGATCAGCGCTGCAAGCAAGGTGCATATCGCAGCTGTGGTCACCACGCTGGTCTTCCAGTTCATGCACAGCCTGGTGCAAGTAGGATTGAACAGAAAACTGCTCGGGAAGGATGATTCCCAGTCCGTTATTGCAGGACAGCTTTGATCACGGCATCACCCCCCCCTCGTGCGGCATACTTTGAATGCAGCTGGTCGAAATGCGAAGATGGGGCTATCATGTTATCTGGACGGGATCGCGCGTGTCTTTGAGAACTAGCCAAATACCAAAGTTCGCCTCCGACACGCCCGGGACGATTATCCAGCCAGCATCGAGGCTTTCTTTGCTGTCGCTGTCGCTGCCAGGGCAGAGAGGGCTGCTGCCAGGGCTGCTGCCAGGGCTGCTGCCAGGGCTGCTGCCAGCGCTGCGAGGGCTGCCAATGCTGCGAGGGCTGCCAGGGCTGCTGCCAGGGCTGCTGCCAGGGCTGCCAGCATTGGTGCTCCCTTGGTCCGAGACATCTTCCTGGCTCCTCGGCAGAGTGCACTGGATGCACTGCCTGCAGGCACCGCCAAAACAAGATTGCTGCCCAAGGGTCGGTGCAGTCCGCAAGAGCGCAATAGTCGGAGGCCCGCCTGGTGCTGCTTCGGGCTCCTGCGAGCATGCGGGCGGTCTCGGATGACGTTTTTAAACGAGCCTGTCGTTGTGCAGAGTTCAACGTTCCATGATTAACCCACTGTTGCTCCAAAGGCAAGCACTGAAGTCATCTGCTCAAGGCAAAACTCATGCTTCCCGGAATCTTGCGGATAAGTGCTGAGAGGGGCCTTCGGCAAGACATTCCGACATAATCCCGCTCTACAGGCCTCGGCAGCACGTGGTTCTGCAGCCGACTTCGCTTTGCACCTGGGCTTGTGCTACTTGGCCAGCATGTCAGGGCAGTGGGCTTGCAGAGGGGATCGCTTGCAGCCTGCAGACTCACGCTCCACGAGCTTTGCCACAAGCTCCAGAAGCTTCGAGACTTGCTTCTGGTCAGCATCGCGCTGCACGCGGCAATGAAACATCCTGCATTATCCGGCAAGCAGAGATCGCAGAGCCCTCCCCTCACTCCCTCACTTGCTCGCTCGTATGCTCGCTCGCTGATCTTCAGGCCCTGGCTGCTGTCGCAGATCAAGGATCAGGCTTTGTTGCCTGATCTGGCGACATCTGTCGAGATCGACGGGCTAATCCAGAGGTTTCATCTAGGCTTGGGGCTTGGGGTGAGTTGCCGGTTGACTCCCCGTCCGGACACAACTCGCATGGTTACAATGCAACATCTGCTCATGCAACGATTGAACCTGATTTCCACGTCTCGGCTTCCGGCAGACAAACCTGCTGCTTGCTCTGCGCTTGCTGGTAGTGCACAGCACTCAGCCTCGGGCCACTGCAACCACGTCAACTTTTATGCGAAGCATGTCAAAGCTTCAGTCAACTCAGAACAGTCGAAGTCCATACGTGTACTGCAGCAGGGCTGAAACCTTTCTGGCACGATTGCCTCTAGAAGCCCCTTCCAGTATCCGTCTTGCTACAAGCGGTCCGCATCGTGCTGCAAGCAGCAATGAAACATCCTGCGTTATCCGGCAAGCAGAGATCGCAGAGCCCTTCCCTCACTCCATCAGTTGCTCGCTCGCATGCTCGCTCGCTGATCTTCAGGCCCTGGCTGCTCGTGCAGACCGAGGATCAGGTTCTGTTGCCTGATCTGGCGACATCTGCTGAGACCGATAGGCTGCTTCAGCGGTTTCATCTGGGCTAAGGGGCTTGGGGTGAGTTTCAGGTTGACTCCGTGTCCGGATAGGGCTCACATGCTTTCAAATGATCTGCTCACCTAGTTTCCACGTCTCGGCTCCCGGCAAACTGAGCTGATTGCTCTGCACTTGCTGGTGGTGGAGAGCATTCAGCCTCGGACGACTGCTGCAATAGCAACTTTGATGCGAAGCATGTCAAGGCTTCAGCCGCTTCAGCCCAGTCCAAACAGAACTTGCGACGATGACAACCCTACGAGTACCGAAGCAGGGCTGAAACCTTTCGGGCTTTGGCGACGAGCACCCGCAGGAGGCTCCTACACGATTGCATCTACAACTCAAGATCCATCTTGCGACAGGCGGCTGGTACCAGAGCAGGGCGACTTGCTGCTGCAAGTACCACACGAGGTCCTAGCAGGACTGGGAGTTGGTGCGACATCGGCACTGCTCTAAGGCCCACATTGGGTCTCGCTCAGAGGATCTGCAGCCCGCCCGTGCACCCGATGGAAGGCCCATGCCTCGCTGGACCCTTCTTGGTTACCCACCATGGCTCATTCAGAGTTCTGCAAGTTTCTCAACGTGTTCTATCTGCCTGACTCACTGCTGCAATAACTCGCGTTTAGAAAGCAGCTGACGAAGCAACTTTCATCTCGCTGAACTGCAAATTCGATCGCTCAGAAGAAGATGTGCAAGGCTGAGCCATAGGCAATTGCAATGGAACGAACCTGACTCCAATCTTAGTGGAGAAATCCAAGCGCTCCACAGGACACTTCAAGCAATTCTAGATCTTTCCTGCGAGGATTGGAACGTGCTGCTCGCGTGCCTGTAGTCCGCAACACCATTTCTAAGGCTCGTCCCTGTCTGCCGAGCCATTGGCCGAAAGGAAGGCGCCCAACATTGTACTGCATCTGTGGGTTCAATTTCTGCGTATATGGAGGAATTTCGCCTAAAATGGGGAGCAGCATGGGCAACGACAGGGAAAAGTGGGTTGATCAATGAGAGCCATGGCTCCTTGCTGGTTTATAGAGCGTAGTTGGCATTTTTCGGGATTCAAAAGTAGGCCTCGCTGCGTGGCGAGGTATTGTAGTATGTGGAGAAGGCGATTTAGTGCCTGGGCTGTTCTGGCAAGTAGGAGTGTATCATCAGCGTAGTCTAAATCCGTGATTGGTCTATCATGAGAAAGCACAGATGGGAGAGACTGATAAAGCAAACGGAAACGAGAATAAACATCTTCAAACAGGACAGAAAGGACAATGACAAACAAATAAGGTGACAAAGGACATCCTTGTCGGATGCCTCGCTTAAAAGAATAAGAATGAGAAATGGCTTAACAGTTGAACACGAAGGAACCCGTCGTGTTACAAGAACAAGCAAAAGCAAGCACTCACAGCACTTCTCTTACTTGAGCCAAATCATGTTCGTGTGCTTCGTTCAAGCTGCTCTTCATCTACCTCTAGTAGGACGCTCTCAGCTACATCATGCAAGGGCCTGGGACTCGAGTACTGTTAACTCCCCCCTTGAAGACAGCGTGAAACGCTACACTGAACTCTGTTACGCAGACTACCTACTTGGTGGAACTACCACTTTGCTCAAAAGTGGAATCCAAGCTCTCTGAGCTTCAGCTGGCTGTCGACTGGCAGCCTACTCACGTTTCTAGGGGTGAAGGCAATTAAGACGATTCTATTGCCCTTTGTGCAAGGAGTCGTCGCGTGTAACGGTCTTGGATCGAAGACTGCTGGCCATTTAAGAATCTCACCCCTTTCCCCTCGACTGAGGTCTGGGCACGGGTAGTCACCGCTTTGTGACTGGACCCATACGTGGCCCCCCTCGAATACTTCAAGTGGGATTACAGCATTCTTGCTGCATGGCTCGTTGTAAGAATCCTTATGAGTCAAGGTGATTTGATTCTTGGCCAACATCACTGCAGTAAACTTATGCTTAGGCAACACCCTACGGATGAACCTGCACAAAACCGAAGTGACAACTGGGAAGAGGGTTAAATTTTGCCTTAAACCTGCGATCCCACCTCCGTGCGCGAACGCACCGGTGGTGAAGCACATTGCCTCACTTGCAAAGGGGCGCACAGCGCTCTCCCCTGGCAAGTATGACAAAAGCTGCACAAGGTCCTCTTGTGTGATCTTCCTAGGCAGTGAGCTTGCAAAGCCTTCTGCTTCCTCGACTACGACCCTTGAGACGGTCGCGTGGTGAGGGACGCCTTCACTCAGACACAACTGTGTGAGCATGTCAGACCACTCAGCAGGAGGGATGATCTCAGTCAAACCATTAGCTAATTGATCCTTACTGTTCACGTAAGTAGCCGAAAAATCTTCTTGCTCAAAGATCTCTGCCATACTTGCCACGTTTACGCGGTGCACGCGCCCTAAGTGGCGAAGTTTTGGGCTGTATCCTGACTTCAGGATGGCCAAGACAGTTTCATTGTCTTGATAGAAGATGATTGGCACTGTGCTTTTGAAGGCTGACTGTAAGAACGTCTGCAAGTTTATGACCTCGGAAAACATGGCTGATGCCATTGAAATAATTTCGGCCTCTGGCGTCGATCTCGCAACCGACGTTTGCTTGCGACTTTGCCACATCACAGGGAATGCGTGTTGACCCGTGCCTATGTGGACTACGATCCCGGACGTGCTACGTGAAGTGTAGGGACAAGCTGCGAAATCAGCATCTGTATACACTCGCAGCTCGGGAGCGGCATCCCAAGAGCAACTGGCATTCATGCAAACATCTCTGGTGTGATGAATGTATGACACAAGTCTAAGTACTTGTCGGTCCTCCCAGGCAGTCCACCTAGTGACCCTGGAAGCTAGGCGAGTTACCGCAAACGAAATGTCAGCTCTGCAGAGACGAGCTAACCACAAACAGCGCATCAAGATGCGTGATGCTGAATCGTGGAGCTCGCCAGGTGCTGAGATCTCTTCGTCTGTCATTGCTGATTCAGCGATGCAAGGCGTGGTCACTCGACGAAGCTTGTCGGGTGTCGTCCCGGTGATGTCGCAATAGGTTTGGACGATCTGCTCAGCATACTCAGGCATCTTAAAGGCCATTGTGGTTGACGACGGGTCGTCGTACCGACAATGCAGTCTACCTAAGATCCGAACACCCTCAGAACCTATAAAACACTCGGGATCAAGCTTGACTTTAGCCCTCAACGCTTGCCAAAATGGCGTGTGCAATTTTGTTAATCCGCACAAGCTCAAATCATCGACGTAAATGTTTAAGATGAGAACCCCATCCTTGTACTCAAAGAACCACTCCTTTCCGCCTAATGAGATCAAAATCCTAGACAAATACTCTTGCCAGAGCCGTCCGGCCTGTGGGTGGCCGTAAAGGCTCTTGCGAAGTCGAACGACTATGCGCGCTTGCGCTCCAAAACGCTCCTCCCAGCCGGGGAGCCATAGCTCCCTTGGTAGGATTACGTATGTCTCTTCTTTAAGCTCTGATTGGAGGTATGCTTGGATTGCGTCAGAGCAGGACACAGAGTGCTTTGGTAAGCAACCCCAGAAGAGGGAGGCGTTCAAGGCTATTAACCCCGTTGGAGTCGTACTGGTCTCTTCGAAGAAAACCAGATTGTTGAACTCATCCAAAACCCTATCCCCTCTATAAACAATTCTCCCTTTGAACTTTTGAAATTCAGGTGCAAGTTCGGCATGCTTTACCCCGCACAAGGTCATCAGTTCCGCTACGCGAAGCTTGCGTCCCTGAGACCTGGCCTGACTTCTCAGCTCATGCAATGGCATGGCTGTTGTGTCATCCCATGTGCCGTTTCGGCGCAATCCTTCTGCTTCTTGAGCGATGGCCTCAAGCGCCTTCGGCTCAGCTTGCCATTCTCGGCGGGAGAGATTCTTGGTGATAAGCGCGCTAGCTTTACCAAGATTGGGGACACTTTTGAAGTACCTCTGGGGAAACAAGGACTGTATCACGAGATCTGCAAACTCATACGCTTTGATGTTGGTTGCATTGATCCCTGACACCTTTGCGAAGTGCTCCAGTACACGCTTGGAGCTTGAAGCGATAGTGATGGCTTTGTTGCCGCTAACACAGGCTACACTGGAAAGCTCGTGTTTCGAAGCGAAATCGATCCACTCAGGCTGCCTAAGCACCCCTGAATCAGAACTCCACTGAAACGAAACTCGACCCCCCTGCTCAATGATATGGTCGGCAACATTTAGGGCCAAAATTCGCTTGGATGTTGCTTGCCTTTGTGCAATCTTTCGCGTGTACTTGGGACTTTGGGATTCGCGATGTACGGCTTGATGCGAAGACATATGTGTGCATGGTATGGTGAACCCAGCATCTACACCTGGGATTGCTTGGGAAACGACTTGTTGCATGTCATCCTGCGAAGTCAAGTCCAGCGTTGACTGGGACAGACTAACACAATGAACCTTACAACGTTCACAAGCGTCTCTTATCTCAGACTCGTCTTCACAACCATACTCGATCAGAACGTTTTCCCTTGGAAGTTCCTTGACCCTTCTGGTGTTGTTACGCGCTCTCTCGTTTGCGAGAAACCTTGCACTCAAACCAAACTCACCTGTTGGAGCTTTGCTTTCCGAAGACTGAACCACAACACCAGCTGGAGCCCGTGGGCCAGCAGAGGAGCTCGCGCGCTCTGGAGCATCCTCATCACCCTCGGGGGCTGCAGGTGCAGACTCCGCCGAAGGATCAGGGCGCTCAACATCAGGCGGTGCCGCGTCTCTGACTGACTTGCTCGCGGCAATCTTCTCGGCTTTAATCAAACCATCGAATCTCGCCTTACATACTGGCGTGTGTACTGTTCTTCCATCGAACCTGCAGGCTTTACAACCAGGTGTTGCGCCTAGTCGCATGAGCCTATCTAAAGTGATGTACTCGTGGCGCTTGGCTACGGGTGTTGACGGCGCTACCGTGCTGAACGGCACATCAAGAAATTCGATGGCTTCATACTCGGCCTTCGTGAAACTAGACAAAGCAGCTTCTGCAGCGGTGAACATCGGGAGGATGGGATTACCGCGGGGAACATGGATCTCTTCTCTAGGGACGGAGATCGTCTTTTCGTACCCCGGTTCACGGTTCTTTAGCTTACCATAGTCCAAGACATAATAGACTTCTCTGAAAGATGATGGACCACTATCGAACCGCCAACCTGCAAAGACACCTGGCGCTGCTGGTGCCTGAAACTTCTCACGGTTTGCCGGGTCAAGTCTGTAGTAGACTAGTTGACCAAGTTGTAGTTTCATGCCACCAAACTCGGATCCAGTTGCGTTCACATACCGGCCACCCTCAATCCCAACCGCAGGGTGGAAAAGGTTAATGGTGTGTGCCGCATAGCGAACAGTGTGGACCCAAAGACCCGAATGCAACTGAAAACCTGCCGCAATGTGGAGAGCTCTTGTACACTCCTCGATGGTACGGATCTGAGTTGTGAGGCCATCTTCGCTCAAGGCTTGGTTCTGAAGTAAACCCCAACGTCGCACATGCGGCGAGGAGTTCTCGCGCATTGTCGCTCTTGAACAATACACAAGGTCCAGAAGCACGCCTACCGAGAAAGGATAACAATGATCGTACCACCCCGTCTTCGTGCCTGGACACTAACGGGAATGTTCTTATGTACCCTGTGGCCTCATCCCTCACAGTCAGGACGACGGTTTCAGTGCTTCTAGAGTCTTTGTGCACGATGATCAAATCAGCCGCTATCCGTTGGCCAAACTCTTCAACCGGATCTAACTCATCATCACACCTTGCATAGCGCATCCTCGCCGTCCGCTTCTTTAGCATTCCGCTCCGACTGCAGACATCACAGTAGGGGTTCTTTGGCATATGCGTTAAGCGATGCTCTAGACTCTGGGCTTCAGCGATTAACCGCTGAGCCTTGGTTGGTGCATCCTCATCACCCTCATCGTCGGCACCGGAACCTTCCCCTGGATCAGGTGGAGGGGGTGCTGCGGGAGCTGGGAGAGGAGGGTCCTCTGCTGGGACCGCGGGTGCAGGAACCTCTGCTGGGGCTGCCGGGGCAGAATCACCAGCGGCTAAGGCTCTATGCAAACCGTCACCACCAAACCTGATCTGCTCACGAAATACCGGAACATAATCGTCAACCTTATGGGCATAGATGACACGATCCGAATCCCAAGTGATCTGGATGCAATCTTCACCAGTACCGAAGAACGGCATGCTACCAGGAAGCCAAACAAAAGGTTTTCGCTGCAACTCTACTAGTTGGCCTGAAGACCGCACTACCGGGCAGCTTTGCAGAACATAGGACTCTACTGATCCAAAGGCATCGCTCGTCGTAGTAAGGAAGGTGCCACTGCTCGTAACACCATTTCCGGTTTCAAACTGCAACGGCTTCGTTGACTGGATGTGATCACTGAACATATCAGTCAAAATGCCCTGATCTGCAAGCGCGGATTGGCTTAGCAGGTTTCTCCCTGCCCCAGAATCAGCAACCCAATCAAGGAAGTACGACCCCCCTGAACAGTTAGGTCTACTGACTGTCGCGGCAATGCGATCATGCGAATGATGAACAGTGAACAGTTGCGGGCAATGCAAAAGAAAGTGCTGCCGCGAAGCGAGCAAACACACGAAAGGGAGCGGTGATCAAGCGACATGTGGCTTTGAAACCGCGAACAAATGATGAAGGGATGTTGCATGCGCTCGCGCCCGTCGACGCGGCTGCCAACATGGCGACTCCGGCAGGCACCTTTGGGGTGGCCTTTGATGGAGCAGCTTTCTTTGGTGCATCTACATGCTCAAAAGGGCAATCCTTTCCCCTAGCCCTAGTGCATGTTCCCTTTGGGTAGAAGAAGCACGCTGGCCTTTGGCCGGATTGTTCTGCTGACGAATCCTTTGCAGCTGGAGGTTTCTGAGGTTTAGCCTTGCTATCCTTACCCCCGCCTTTCCCTTTACCTTTGTTTTTGTCCTTGTTGGCACCCTCACCGGCACCACGATTGGCGTCGGGGACTCCTGGAGTTGCTTTGCTCGGGGCCTTCGGGGACTTGTCATTGCCTTGGCCTCTGGCCTTAGCCTTTGCATTTGCCTTTGCGGCGGGAGCGGCGGGCGTAGCCTTAGCCGCGGCCGCTTTCGCATTTGCATCTGGTTTCGGCTTCTGTTTGGACTCCTCTTTGAGCGAATCCTTGAGCGCCTGCTCGTTTCGATCCTCACGCACTTCTGCGAGAACCTCTTCAAGCCCATTCCAAATGTACTCAAATGTCCTACGCTTGGAGCCTGGGTTGGCATCTTTGACCCGGTCAATGGCGCGTGAAAGCATCCTGCATCCCTTTAGCCGTGAGTAGATCCAGGAAAACATTGTTTCGGCGTCTGGCCATTGCCGCTCCGGCAAGCCATTCAACACGTACTCGACGCGTTGTTTGAAGGCTACAAGCGATTGGTAGGAAAATGAGTCAGGTTCTAGATCGAACAAGGATTGTAACGTCACCAATGGCCCGCCCACTTTATCTATCCGGTATCTTCTGCTAAGAATGGACAAGAGTGCACGACCCGATGGCATCGTTCCAGACGCATGACATCTTTCCAAGTACGACTGCGCTTGCAATCCCCATTCACCTTTTAGGTGTTTCGCATCACTGATACATGCGGAGATCCACCCATCAAGTCTAGGCAAACCCTCACAATCCTGCTGAAGCGACCGTGTCAATGCAATGCTACCTGATGGATCTAGGCTCTTTTGAAGCCACTTCAACAGGACGGCTTTGCCGCTGCAATCTATTGACGCAATCTGTGTTAGCACTGAATTGCGGTAAGCCCTGAACTCAACGCTAGAACCCGGAATTTGGGGAAGCTTGATGTCTTTCAGGTCTTTGTACTTATAAATGCTGGACTCGTAGTCTCTGTCATCCTCAGGCTCGTGAGCCACAACGGGGACGATTGGATCATCCTCAAAGTCTTCGCCGTCCTCATCATCCTCATCTTCACCATGCTCATCAAAGTCATCTTCCTCTGCTATGTCGAAGACTTGGGGCTTGAGCTTCTGTGGTGTGGAATGTGGTGGAGGAGGCGGAGGAGCGGGTGTTGCGGAATGCAATCGACCCGTGAAGATGCTCTTACGGCTGCATTGGTACGGTGGCAATCCAAACTCAACCGGACTCGGGGCAACGAAACCACTAGAACCGGAAGCCTTAGCGGGAATTGGAGACGCAACTGATGGTGCAATGGCCCTAGCTGTAGCCTCGGCTTTAGCTTTCTGCTTCTTTGCTTTGGCTTTGGGACTAAGGGCTACTTCAATTGCCTGTTCAATCCTTCGCATTGTTCCCCCAACCTCACCAGCGAGTGCCTGCAATGCGTTGAATGCAGACGCAGCCTGATCCGCGCCATTTTGGGTAGAGCTCGCTGGGATAGCTGATGCGGGGATGCTCGGGTTCTTTGGTTCGGCAGCTTGCACATGCGACTGAAGCGCGATTAGCTGTTGATGCATAGCCTTAGATAACTCTTGTTGCTCGAGGAGCATCTTAGCTTGCTTTTCGAGTCTCTGGTTGAGCTCACGGTTCATCTCTCCTAGCTGTTGATTCTCGGTTCGGAGGTTTCCGATCACCGTCTCAGCTTCACCCTGAATCACCGAAGCGCGTGAACCCAACTGCTGGTTTTCGGACCTTAGCGCCTGTATGGCGACATACGACTCACCCTGAATCGCGGCGGCCTGGGCACCTAGCTGTTGGTTCTCTGATCTTAGAGACTGAATCACTGCTTCAGCTTCACCAAACACGGCTGCTGTCTCAGCTCTCGCATTCATGATGGCAGTTGTTGCTTCGGATTGCATGTTCGCATGGGTTACCGGGTCAACTCCAACCTGAAGGACCTGCTGCCGATGGGCATGTTGATGCAAGTGCAACTCCTGATGGCTCGCGTTCGGGCCCGTTGGATTTTGACTACGGGTAGGGCCAATATTCGCTGCAAAGGTTGGTGCCGGTTGCAGGGATGAAGACCTCGATGCGGGTCCATACGACAATGATCTACTAGCCCGGTTCCTCCGAATCGGCCCCGAACTTGACGAATCCGAATGTCTAACCGCCTCCGGGCGCACGCTAAGTGCTGGAGCCCTGGTGGGTGTGCTTGACGAAGAAATTTCTAGTGAGGATTCTTCGAATCCCAGTTGTGATGCTAGAGGCATGATGGGAACGGCGGTTCAACCGAGGTCTAAGGGTTGTAAAAATACTTCACCCCAACCTTCCAAGTCGACCCTCAACAATCCCACACCCGAGGCGCTGCAAATGCAGTCTGCTCCAATCCCGTTTTAGATGCCAAGATCGTACCACAGCACTTGGTTGAGGCTGCGCCTGTCTGACGGCCACCAGCAATATCCGGTACAGCCCGGGTATCGAGAAACGTCGCTGCAGATATGCTCCTGATCGTCCACGTGGTGGATCTCTACCTCACCACACCGTGCCAAACTGGACAGCCGATCGCCCTTGCCGTTGCGGTCAACCTTCTCAGATGTAATCAATAAAGAAATCACCCGATCCGGAACGCCAACGAAAGAAGATGGGTCCAGCCCCTCGACAACGCGACGCACGCTGTCTCTCACCGTGTTCTTGCGGGACGCCGTCACGGCAAAGGAGCAAATCAGCATGCTGGTATCAGGATATGTGCTCAACACGCGCTGCACGGCCTCGATACTACAAGCAAAATCCCGGTCCAATACAAGATGGCAATCCAATGACACGACACGCGTAGCTCTCTCGGCCTGTAACAAATTTGCAATGTGCCGAAGAGAGAGGGATTCGTTAACGCGCACGGTCCGCTGAGGCAGTGGTTCAGGAATCGAAGAGCTAGCCGACTCGGCTTCTGCAGGTGTCGTCCTCCACCGTGACAGTCACGAGTGGCTCAGCTGCCTCCTCCAAATGCCCAGTGCGCCTCCTCTTGAGGAGCGGGTTGTCCAAAGTGATCGCGCGATGCCCAATCGGCACGTAAGGGCCAAGGTTAGGAGCAGAAGATGGCGGGATTCCTGTTTTAGGTTTGGGGATAGGCGGTTCTGGCGGCAACTCTCTACCACTCGGGAGCGAACCCTTGCCCTAGCCCTGAAGATCCCGCAATCCCAACCGAATCACTGCCCGAAGCACGCCGCGCTGGGGGAGTATATGGAGGCTCACGCGGGCCAATATCAAGAGATGGCTCGGAAACACCAGGAGTCTCCGGAGCCACTGAAGAAGATGGTGCGGTGGCAATAACAGGGAAGAGCGAAAGTCCAACTGGCGAGATCTGGAACTCAGGAAGCGGCTGGTGACGCGTAGGAAAGTTACCAGCCTTGAGCCAATCGACGTACCCCTGTGCCTCCCTCTTATTAGAAGCGTGCACCGGATGCAAAACGCCGACCTCCTGCTCAAGCTGCTCCAATTGGGCTAAGAAGCCCCCTACAATCTTCAAGTGCAGCGACTTCCTTGCTCGGCGATTGGTGCCGCTCTCGCCTCCGCGCCTCTCGGCGTTAAGAAGAAGAACGTGTTTTAGCTCCAATCGCTGCTCTGGGGATAACGCTTTCGCCGGCTGCATACAATGGCCCGGGGGGCAGCAGAGTATCAGCAGCGGGAAATCCAAGAAGACGTAAGCACGCGTGCACAAGGCTCAAAGCTGAAGCCCAAATTCTTTCGGCACTGATTGATATGAATAAGAGTAGATTTGCTGTGCTGCCGGAGCAGACTACAGCTGGGATGAGGGACTGAGGAAGCGGTTCGAAGGTCAAGCGCAGGGAAGACCCACGCTAACCCAAACCAGAAATCTCAATCAACCTCCAATCTCAGCTGAACTCTTACAGGCGGGTTGCTGGGATGCAATCTCACTCCTGACTCGTTTCGGTTCTGTTCTGATCTCTACTGGATTGCCTGTTGCACCACAAGGCCTGGCCTCCTTTGTCCGTGAACGGGACTACGGGAGAGGTGCGAAGGCAGGGCTTTAAGAAAACCCGAAGAAGGTTACCACGCGGACGCCTCAGCAAGCAGGCGAAGCACGCAGCAGATTTGGACCTCACAGATAATGTGCAAAACCAGGCTGCGATGCAGGCTCTGGATGGAATCTCAACTGTAGGGTTATGGCTCTAACCCCAGGAGATGACAGTGCAAGATATGAGAAAGGAGTATGGAAGTGGGCAGGTCTTTGCTAGACCTACGACGAACCGATTTCACGCAACCTTGCTAGTTGCTTGCAGATATGGAATGCACAGACACTAGGCCTGCGCGAATGGCACTATGGCTCCCAAGGGGTCCTAGACTCTCCCTACACAACCACAGTACGTAGTATGAAAATGCTGAGGCTGTTAACCAGTTGAACACGAAGGAACCCGTCGTGTTACAAGAACAAGCAAAAGCAAGCACTCACAGCACTTCTTTTACTTGAGCCAAATCATGTTCGCGTGCGTCGTTCAAGCTGCTCTTCATCTACCTCTAGTAGGACGCTCTTAGCTACATCATGCAAGGGCCTGGGGCTCGAGTACTGTTAACTTTAACTTGCTTAGAAATCCATTGGAGATCAGTTTCAGTTTGCAATGTCATGGAAGTATCTCGAAGATTTTTGAAGCCAATCGAGATCTTTGTCTTTTGTTAGGATGCATCGCTGCGACAAGATCATCGAGGCTTCTGTTTAGAATTGCCAAGCTCCATGAAGTCGACAATGGCCACCAGGTTGCAAGATCATCGAAGCTTGTTGAAGCCATCAGGGCCACAAACGTGTGGCTTTGAAGCCACATGGTTTTCAAGCCACATCAGACCACTTCACGTGTGGTTTCCAAGCCATATCCATTTCAGGCCACATTATCTGTCACCGGGTCCCAATTTTTCGCGAGGAGTCCCAACTGGCTCCCACGGGTCCACCCACCTTCTGCGTCACCGAATCCCGTTTTTTTGCTGGGTTTTATCGAACTCAGGTTCGAGCACCGGTCTTTGAACTCTGGGTTCGAACTGGTGTTCGAACTCAGGGTTCGAACGCCGGCGTTCGAACTCAGAGTTCGGAACACTGGGTTCAAATGCTGGTGTTTGAAACCTGTTCGAACACTGGTGTTGAACTCTAGGACTCTAGGTTCAAACACGGGTGTTCGACCCACTAATCCTTACTACTCCTACTTACAACTTATTCTACTACTATTACACTTCCTAATACTATTACACTTCCTAATACTACACTTACTATTATCTAACACTACTAACACGACTCATGCTACTACTACGCAAATACCACCCAAAATCATGTAGTGTGGCTTTGCCATGTGTTTTGCATGGTGAACACATGTTTTTGGCATGTTTGCAGTCGCATCCATGGTATGTGTGCAGTTGCATTGCGAAGATGATGAGCGCTTACAGCACTGGAGATGCTTTGGAGCATCCTTGAAGAAGTGCGTGTTGCTCTGACTGCACCTGCTGCTGTTTTCGCCGACCCTCGCTTCGCTCGTGCTGGTAGAAACAGGCAGAGGCACTTGCTGTTTGCGTGAGAACAGAAGTCCGAGAAGTGTTAGGACGGTCTCCTTTGTTTAACAAAGTTGAGATGGAATTTGTTGCTGTGCAAGACTCCGCCAGAGACCTTGCTGAACACTTCGGTGTTTGGCTCAAGCGTGGAGTGAAAAAGAACTTGTGCTCTGCGTTTTTCACATGTAGCAGAGCGCTGAGTGCGTTCCTAGTGAAGCCATGGCCAACGTGCCCGTACCGGACACCACTGTGGAAGAGGAGTTTGACCTGTTTGGTCCAGGACCAGCGCTCAGGAATCCGTTCGCTCCTGCTACAAGTCAGGCTCCTGCTCCCACCCAAGCTACAGCACAGCCTTTTGTCTCAGCAACGCCAGCAGATTCGCCGACTGAAGTCCTAAAGGCGGACTCCCTGTCATGCCGGCATTTATGACTGAGATGCTTCGTCAGCAAAGAGAGATGATGGAAATGAACCAGCAGCTCGTAGCGACGATGCTTCGCAGGATGGATCTTGAGGAAGAGAGAAGGAACAAAGCTGAAGAGAAGGCTCTTGAAACCGCCGAAGCAGCCAAGAAGGCGGCAGAGGCCGCTAGAACTCGGGATCCCTTTGACCCGAGCACTGCTTCTTCGAGCAGTGTTGCTCCGGCGAGTGTTCCGCCCTCTGACTGCGGAGGTTCCAACAGAGCAGAGAAGTATCTGCCGAATCTTCCTGTGATAGACCATCAAGGCATGGGAAAAGGGCGCATGAAGGAGGTTGAGACGTGGCCCTCCTTTTTGGAGACTTTACTGCAGCTCTGTATTCCTGTTAAGAAGGAGATTCAGCAAGCTGACCTGAACCCCGAGACTGCTGCTCGGAGCTCGAAGTTGTTCTACTACCTGACTCAGTCCCTCGCCAAGTGGGAGCGAGGAATCGAGCTCTTGAAGTCTTGCTCGAAGAGGCAAGCGCAGAGTGCCTGTGGGTACGAGTTGGTTCGGACGATCACTTCTCAGTACAGCATTGTCTCCAGGATGGAAGCTGTCTTCGTGAGAGAACAGGCTCTGAAGTTGTATCAGCATGTGGGACACTTCAAGAGGCCCACTGATTTGATTCGTCATGTTGAGGATTGTTTTTCAAAGTCTGAAGCGAAGCTGAGCAACTTTCCAGAGCTGAAGCTTTCTGAGGCTGACCGCTGCTCTGTTCTTTTGCAGAGTTTGGGTTCCGAAGTTCGGCAGTACGTTGTGCTGCACGGCGCCAGTTCGAACTGGGAAGCCCTCCGGAAGACCCTCACCTACTACGAGGAGCAGCTGCGACTGTGTGAGGCCCCTGGGTCTTCGGGCCGCACCCTGCAGGAGAAGCTGTGCGACTACTGTGGGAAAAAGGGCCACACCGCTGATAA